GAATCTTAATTTGAAGTATTTCCATATCTTTTACAAATAAAATAGAAAATAAAAATAAATTAATATTTCAATAAGCTTAGCTTTTTTAAAATAGATAAACAGAGAAAGAAAGAAATAAATTTATTAATAAATAAGTAAATAAATAAATAATTAATAAATAAATGATTAAATTTATTAAAAAACAAATAAATATATTTCTAAATAAATAAATAATATAATAATAATCTCTCTCTGTGTAAAAACATATAACATAATGATCTCTCCCCACTGCAGGCCAAAACGAAAGACTTGAACGAGCCACAAACTTGATGGGCATTATCATTTATGATTTTCTTCTTCTTAGCATTTGATTTTTGTTGTTGTTGTTGTTGTATTTTTTGTTCATCAAAGTGCATAGAGGAGGCCCATATTTAACCCATTGACTTCCCACGACGCGACGTAGCATAAGTGGATTGGAAAATCCAAAAGTGGAAATAACCAAGTCAAGCAAAAGGTGTATTTGTTCATATTTATCAGTGATTAAATGTCTGCCAGGTATCTTTGATATTTGGCGTATTTATTTTGTTTATAGCTTAACTCTGAAAAGTTTGATTGATTGACTTCCTTGGTAGTTTACTTTTGATTGTAAGAGTTAATAAAAAAATTCATTTGGAAATACCTTTTGAATAAGAGAAAATATTATATAATTGTTATAAAATTATTTAATATATTTTTTAGACTTTAAAATAAAATATATTCAAATTTGTTCTCTAAACTCTTACAAATTCCCTATTACAAGTCTCTATTTGCTTCTATTTTTCTCAAAATAAATACATTTTAATATCAAGATTAGGTATTTAATATTTTCCCCCATTTTTGCCATATTTATTTGTTACACTTTTATTTTATTTTTATAATTTTCGCTATCAAGTTCAAGTACTAATTATTTTCCCCCATTTATGTCATATTTATTTATACCTTTTCAGTCAGTTTTAACCACAAGTTCTTCCCATTTGCCCTTTGATTTTATCTGAACTTTATTTGCTTTGTTTGATTTGCAACTCACGCTGTTTTCCGTGCACTCAAATGTTTATACAATATTGTTTTTCAACAAACATTTGTATTTGTATTTGTACATTTGCCGGCAAATAGAGACATCGCGTTATCAGTATGGCTCATTGGTTATTACCAATCCGGACGAGTGTTGCCATCGTTGATCTTTCCCTGCTCTGATCGCTGATCTTTAAAAGACGCGTCTTGTGCGGTGTTTGGAAAGACCAACGACCGACCGGTTTGGGTGCAACAGAGTGTCATATTTGGAGTCACTGCAAGGGCCTTTTCCATCACTACAATGTACTTATGTACGTATATATATTCATTTACCTGGGCAAACAAGAACTCTAGAAGAGACAACCGCAAAAGCCGGCAAAAACAAATGCCAAAAAGCCAAAAGACGGCAACATTTCAATTGGTAATGCAGCCACGCAAACGTCAGAGGCTTGGCCAATTGCCAAACTCAGTCGTCAGTCTGGCTTTCTGACAGTCTGGCAGTCAGTCAGTCACTTTTCGGTTGAACGTTGGCTGTTGCCTCTTGAAAAATCGCCACATGCAACTTGCAACTTGGCCTGTTAATGAGACGCCGTTGGCTGTTGGCTGTTGGTTCCGCGGAACCGAACTCGCTCAGATATTGCCACAAGCCGCAGACATGGCCAAAAAGGAACACGGCCAGAAATGGAACAATTTGAGGGAATTTGGCAACTAAAAATAAATAAACATTACTATTTATTATTATTTTCATTTATTTTTACAATTCTTATTTCATTATTAATATAATTATATACTTTTTTGGTTTATATAAAACGTATATCTTATTTTTTACAGTGCCTTATAACGACTGCCGCCACCGAGTCCAGAGTCAATTGCCACATTCTTCCTTTTTGCCGCCAGCGTCAGCTAACGAAAGAGAATGGTTATTTTCTAGTGACCTGGAAATCGAGTTTCACGGGAGGAGTAGCTTTGTGTCCTGGTAAAGTTTAAATTATATAATTTTTTTTACATTTTTTATTGCCTTCTTGAATTATTTAAAATATATTTAAAGGTTGTACACCTTAAACTTAAATTAAAATAATATTTAAATAGAAATAAATATTTTAAATACAATGAATAATATAAGAATATAAAAGAAAGCCGCTTTATAATTTCTCTAAATTTTGTAATGCCAACTTTAATTGTCAATGAAACAATTAAGAGTTTTTCTACTTAAGTTTAAATCGAAATAATATTTAAAAAATAAATAATATTGAAAAATAATAATAAAAATAAATAAAATAAATAATAAAAGTATTTATATAAAATAAATAATAATATAAATAATCTATACGCAATAAATAATAATATAAAATAATATTTATTAGTAATATAAATAATATAAATTAATATAAATCAATATTATGTAAATATATTAAGTAATTAATTATTATATAGTACGATTTTTTTATTGATTATTATATAATAATATTAAATAATAATATGGTATATAATATTATAAAAACTTGGCCAATGAGCACACACACAATCGTTACTTTCCTTTTTTGTGCTAATCTCAAGATATATATCCATCTATATAGACACAAGTACCTTGTATTTAGTGTTTGTTTTATTATTATTTTGTTGTTGTTTTTTGTTGTTTTTATTTTGTATTTTTTTTGGCAGTGCTCTGGTTCCGCTTGCAATTTGCGCCTGTTGCAAGAACCCGCCGGCAACGGCCGCTTTATGGACCTGGCTATAACATATAGTATGTCTAGTCCAAATGGCTATATAGATATATAGCTATAGCATTTGCTAGTGCGGCATATGGCTAACCGAGCTGCAAATTGCCGGCGTCGGGTCGGCAATTGTGTAATTTGATATTGGCAACCAGACCAGCGACCAGAGACCAGCGACCGGACTCACTTTCAATGCATTTGCGTCAGTTTTTCTTCGGTTGCGAATAGCTAGCTGCACGGAACAAAAATAAAACTATATCCCAAATGGTATCTAAATGTTAACAAATTTTATATAATTTTATATAATTTTGTATAATTTTTAAATAAGGAAATAATATAAATATTAATGGGGAAAAAGACAAATGAAAGCAAACTTTTTGAATTGAAGACAAGGGAAACATTTTTGTTAAACAAAAACTATTTTATATATAATATATAATATATAAACATGGTAAATTAATTTTATAATAATTATAATGAAAATATATTCTCAGGTATTATATTTAATATCATTAAATATGAATATATATCAAGATTCTTGTTGCAACATAATATTTAAATAGTTTTTAAATATTATTTAATACCAAAATAAATATTTATAAAATTATTTTATAATTTTTGAAGACTGCACCGACTCCCAGTTCCGTTGGATCATCATCTCGGCCGAAAGCCTGATGGACAGACACTCATCCCCAACGATTCTTTCACGCGTCATGGTCTTTATCCATGGAACTCGTTTTCTTCTCGCCGCCTTCTATCTTCTGTTGTCATCGAAACGAGTTATTGGCCAACGATCGTCGCCAGATCGGCTGTAATTATGTTTCCAAACTAACTTTATTTTTGGTTTTTCTGCGATTGATCAGCAAGAAATTGTTGCGACACCAGCCAGAGATTCCCTCCTGGCATCCTCAGGGCCAAATTCCAAATCTATTGCTGGATTTGTTTATGATTTATAATGATGTCATTCACCTTTTTTCGCCGCCTAAAAACGGGGGCATCTTTCACCTCTCTCACTTTTCATGGCTTTCGATTCTGTCGCGTCATGCCAATTTGCGAAATTCGGCCTCCTAATTTAATATTCTAATTTAACGATATAGAAATCCTGTTTTTTTATACGAATTAATTGCCTTAAATGTCACCAAAATGGGCTTACAGACGGCGGGGCATTTATATATTTAATATTTATTTTTCCCTGATTATTTCACATTTTTTGTTGATTTTTTAATGGCTATTTGGGGACTTGAAATGCAATTTTTATGGAAAATAACTGTGGTTTTAGCTTACATTCTGGCTTAGACAATTATTTGTTAATAATTTGTAAGCATCTAATTAAAAGAAATAAATACATTTGGTTAGCAAAATATTTTAGAAATATTTTAAAGCTTAAAGGGAATCCCTTTTTAATTTTTATATTAATTTATTGGGTTTTTTTTTAGAGAGCTTAAATATCTTTGATGTTTAAAGTTTATTTATTTTATTAAATTTAATTTTTTTCAGGCAATCTTTTATTTACTTTATTTTTTTTTTATTAAATATGTATCATAATTATTATTTAATTACTAAAAAAATTTAGGCAAAATTAAAATCTCTAAAAATACTTTGAGTATAAAGTTTAGTTAGTTGTTTATGTGTATTTTATAATTGAAATATTTAATTAATTAAGAATTTTCCTCCTCAGACTGCAATAAAATCTCTAAAAATACATTTTTATTAAAAGTTAAATATTTAATAATTTTTTTTTAAGCTCAAACTCAAGTTGATCGATAAATCATTGTGATAAAGTTATAAAATCAAGATAAAACCCGAAGGGAATCAGATTTTCCAGACACATTTGTCACCGCCCAATTATCTTGGCCATATGGATGTAGGTTTTTTTCATGGCAGCAACACTTATCCGATAACTGTGGGAGTCTTGTATTGGGAATAAAAAATAAAATCCATTCTCATCTCGTTCTCGAAGCTGAGCAAATTGGCGGCAGGTGAAGCAGCCGGATCACCTGGCATTTTGGCCATGCAATCTACGTTCTCAGCCAGCCAGCTCCCAGCTGCTATGATCGTAGATCTCGAAAAAACAAAATTCGGCTTGCATTTGGTTTTGAAATTCGCTCGCAGATCGCCGAACCCGCGAACCCAAGTTGCCGAGCCGCCGAGCCACCGTCGAGCCGCCGCCGAGCCACCGCTGAGCCAAGCTGGGGCTGAGCGGTCTTCGCATGCTCGGCGGCATTTGGACAATCAGTTGTCGTCGAATGCTTCGTCTTGGCGGTCGGTCGCTAGATCTAATCCGCCTCGCTGCCCCACTCGATTTTTCGGGAATATTAAAAAACAAAACCAAATATATATCGGCTATATATATTTCCTTAATTTTTTTTGTGCCTGTCTGTGATTATGTGCCAGGGTATTGCCGGAAAGAACTGATTGAATATATCCCCCGTTAAACTATGGCCAAGGCCAGCGTCCTGTTCCTGCTCCTCCTCCTCGCTGTGGCCAACTGCTGCCTGGCCCTCGATGGCGGTGCCCCCGTGCCGGACACTTGCAACCTAAAGGATAATTGCAATTTGGGCGATAATCTGCTCAGTCGATCGGGCCAGGGATCGGATCATCCTGGCGATGTGGCCGGGGATAAGCTGGAGAGCAAGATCGCATCGATTTTCGAGGACAAGGTGAACTACAGCCTGAAGCTCTTCGCCGACGAGGCCACCACCACAATCCTGGAGTATCAGACGGCCAATCTCAGTGAGCTGCATGCGGGGCCCGGAAATTTTACGCTCCACCAGCTGCATCGACTGGAGGCCGCCAATGCCCACGAAGACGATCAGGTGGAGGAGGATGAGAAGGGTGAGTTTATAGGAACATTTTAAAAGAATTTTTTAGTAGAATTTTTTAAAAAAGTTTTAATGGAATTTTGTATAGGATTTTCAATACACTTTTTTATAGAATTTATCCTTGTGTTTATAAAGAAAATTACTTAAAAATACTTTAAATGTTTTTATAAAATGTGGAAAAAATATTTAGTCAATTAACAGATGATTCCATATTTTTTTTTATGTTTTTCATAAACATTTAAAGTATCTTTAAGATATTTTCTCTATATTTTCTTTATATATTCTCTTTAAATATTTCCTGTAAATTTCCTTTATAATTATAGTTAATACTTTAAATGTAGTTTCAGTTATGGCAAAAATATTAAATTAATTAACAGATGATTTAATATTTTTTCCATATTTTCCTAAACATTTAAAGTATTTTTAAGATATTTTCTTTACATTTTCTCTATATTTTCTATTTAAATATTTCTTGTAAATTTCCTATAATTGCATTCATATATTTAGCCTACTTTGAGGACCCTTCTGGTCTTGGCCCAATATTAATTTATATTTATTTCTCACCATATCGCTTACCAATCGATCGATGGGCACTTTCTCACGCCGCCCACATCGAGGCCTTGGGCATTTCGGCCAAAAGCGATTTCTGCAATTGTACTTGTACTGTGTACTGTGTAATGTAATGTATAATGTACGACGGTTAATGTTAACGACACTCGGACACTTGGCTTAAAAAAGCGGATTGTTGCATAAGAGGCGCGTGCGTCAAATAAAATCAATTGCTGGCTGGCATATATGATTTTTTGTTAGCTTCTCTGGGCCACTTCCTGGAGGTGTAGATGTACCTTTAGCTGTACCTGTACCTCTATATATAATATATCTATTGTATCTGCTTATCTAATACCCTGTCTCGCCTTTTTGGTTGCGTACTTATTCTTGTTAAAAGGTTTGGCCTTGTTGGCTCTTTTTATTCTCTTTTCCGGTGCCAATATTTGCAGTAAAAGTTAGGACATGATGAGGATGATTCGGGGGAAAACCCCCAGACATATGCACATAGTACAAGTCCAGACCTCCGTCAAGGCAAAGTGCGAAGTCTCACGTAAGCGAGACAATTTTTTGTTGATTTAATTACCGTTTTTTTTTTGTGTTTTTTTTTTTTTATCTGCACGTAAGCGAATCTCATTTAATCCATTTATATTGCAGCTGAGAAATTACAAAGGTTTTTAAACTCATTTCAACTGTTTTAAGCTCTTGGCTAAGAAGGTTTTATAAAGCAGGTTACTAGACAACTATTGTTAACTATAAATATGGCTTTAGGTACGTTTTTTCAGATAGTCTCTTAATGATTATTCCAGCGCTTAGCTTGGCGTTAAATATCGCATCTTTCATGGCTAATTTTTGCAGCTCATAAAATTCGCAACGCTGCGCCAACACACTTTTACAAGAGTACTCGAAAAATAAATAAATAAATATATATGTAAACATGGAGATATCTTAGACATTTACAAGTACATAAAGCCCAATGAAGATGTACCTCCCATTCGTTCCTGCCCAGAGGCCCAGCCCATACCGGACTTTAAGTGCTTTGGTTTTTTCGCTGTTTGGTTTTTTTTATATTTTTTGTTTTTTTGTTGCCCACTTTGTGACTCGTTTGTTTGTAATTGATCTTTGCCAGCTTCGTCGTGGAGTGGCATCATCCTCCTTAGAGGAGCTCTATGCATGTCTCCTCCACTCCAAACCAATCGCCAGAGTCATCATACCCCCCATAGCTAATGGTTAATGGCGGCATTGGGGAATGGAACCCGAGATATCTAGCCCCATTGAGATAACAAGAACTCGCATAACGGTGGCAAATTGGCGCCGAATCACAAGCTTTAACCTCTTGGCGGTGAGCAGTTAAGCCAAGTTGTCAATTGGCTGGTTAAATATTGGCTTTAAACTCGGCTTAGTTGGGGCTCTTGAGAGGAAAGGGGAAAATTACGTATACGTAGGGTAGGACACAGAAAATAAATATATTTAATAATTTCAAATTAAAATCATAAAAAATGCTACAATTTATTTATTTAAAAATAATTAATAAAAAAATAAATGTATAAATAATGCCAAACTTTCTTAATTCAAAAATAAAATCAGAAAAAATTCTAAAATAGCTTGAAGGGTTTTTAAAGCTTACAAAATGAAACTTAAAATGTAAACTCAAGTGATTTTATTTTGTTCCTGTATTTTCCCTGCATTTTCTCTCCGTGTAAGCTATGCAAACAAGCTCATATCGCGATCGCATTGCAGTAGCTGGCCAAATGTTTGTGAGAACAAAGTGACAAGTGCTGAACGGATTGTGTTTGGGATTCTGAATAAACACAAACACAAGTAAACCCATATCAAGAAAGATATATAGATATATAGAAAGATCTATAGATATACTTGAGAAGGATGAGCCGACGCTAATTGGTAAAATGAAATCATTTTTTGGCAAACAAGACCGCGTGCATTTTGCGATCTCATCATTGCGATTCATATTCGAATCAATGGGAATCGAGCCAGGCTTTGAGTCATGGTTCGAACCAAAAACTCGATCCAATAACTAGAACGCTCTTGGCCAATCCAAAAGCACCGTTTGGCGCCGCCAAGGATTGCGCGAATTTGGGGCCAGGAATTGGCCAACACTCGCGAGTCGCAAGTCTCGAGTCGCGAGTCGCCCGAGAGTCCAGCGGCAGCTGTTGGCCGTTCGGCTTTCAGTTTTCAATTTTCAGTTAACTCAGTTAGCACAGGTTGCCCAAGTGGGTCAGAGACAAGTACAAATACGAGCACGAAACACACGGCTAATTAAGCCGCCAGGCAGCTGGCCTGGTCCGGAGTGTGGTTCTTGTTTTTTGCATAAATCGCAAGCTCAGCATAGCCATTCTCTAGCAGCTACTTAGCATCTGGCCAAAATGCATAGTGGGCTTGTAATTTAATTTATATTATTTAGAAATTGTTGTTTTTTGTATAATTTAATTTTAGTTTATTTTATGTAATCCAATCAGACAGTGAGACGGGATTTAAGCCTGAAGAGGGATTTGGTATATGTGAGAATTTTATATATAAATGTTTTAATATATAATAAATAGGTTAGGCAGGTTAAATAATTTTCATTATATATAATTATGGGAATTTTTATTTTATTTTCTGTTAAGAATTTCTTAATTTCTTATTTGTAAAAGATTTTAATATACATTTCTCATTGAAAGTATACCAGAATTTATGCTACTTCTTTTGTTTAATGTATCTTTCAGCTTGAATATTTTATTTTAAAATGTTTTAATGAAATAAAATTATGAAATTCTTATTTTTTACAGTTTCTTTATAATTTCATAATTTTATTTATTATTTTTATATATCTTTTAACTCAGACCACTGTGCTTTTTCTGCAATTGCTGTTGTGTGCCTCTGATTGATGGGGCAATTGGGTGCATAAAATCACTTGGCTTTGGCTTTCCATTTCATTGTGTCACAGGAGATTTAGGTGTTTCTTGGTTACATTGGATTAAAGAAATATTTACGATTGACTGATAGGATTTCGCATAAAGTCTTTTTTTGTATTATTTTCTGGGGAATTTTATTAAACGTTTTTTAAGGCTATTAATTTTCCATTCCCTGAACGTTTCTTTTTTATCGGCATTTTATGGTTTACCAAAGAGATTGCATAACAAGTGGATGAAGTTTTATAGGCTTACTTTATGGGATTGTCTAGTACTCTTTAGTTTTTTGTTGGTTAGTTTGAAGAATTTAACACTTAAAAACATACCCAAACTTATTGTTTTATTTATAAAAGAACAGCATCTCCACTTAGTTTGGTTTCTGATTTTACAGCTTAAACCTTTTTTTTAATATTTATTTTAGCCATAAATTCCGGCTCTATTTTAGTTACAAATTCCCTTAAATTTAAACCCGAACAATGGGAATTTAGAGAGTTACAAAAATGTATTCTGGAACTCCGTTGTGTCATTCTATCAATGTCCCAAGATCTTCATAATTTGCGATGCTAATGAGCGAGGCAGTCGCCAGGCGGCTTCGTTTCGCACGGCTGCCATTGTTGGTTGTTGGTTGGCACATCTTCATGCCGCGACTGACAATTGATCGGGGGGAACCGTAGAATTCCCAATTCTCAATACTCTATACACCCGATGCTTTTCCAAATTTAGTGGGCACACGTATAGATATAGGTATAGTATAGATATATATATATATATAGAATATGACGACAGGCTTGTCGCGCATTCCGCAGTCAGATCTCGTCGCACTCTGACGCATTTTAGCACTTTTTTCCACCGCCTCCCCCAAAAAGAAAGACGGATGCAGGCGGGCTGATGGATCGATGTTCGACGGCTGGACGAGCTTGGCATTCCAAATGAGAGGCAGAAGCATACAAAACCCCTAGCAGGCCGCCACAATGGAAATGTTAATCAGAACCAAAGCACTGCCCCTGGCATGCTGATGATGTGGCCACTCCATGTGGGTACTTGGCTGTGGCTTTTTGCGAACCTGAAACTGGAACTCTGCCATCGGCAGGCCTCTCGCCATCTTAGTCTCGGGATGGCGCCTCATTATCCCCCGAAGGCACCAAGCCTCACTGACTTCCTGTTCGCTGTTCGAGAGCCACGTGCCCCTCGGGGCCTGACCTTGGCCAATTTTGGACAGCACTTGTGTTTATATATAGCTCATCAGGTATATAAATAATAAAAGAGGGAAATATAGGTGGGGTATTCTGGATTTAAAAGACTTTTTTTTGTCAGCTAAAATAATTAATAATATTTATAATAATTATTATTATTTAGATTCTGGATATAAAAGATTATTGTTGTTAGTTCTTGGTGATTTTAAAAAGGTTTTCTTAAATAGTAGAATAAAAATATGGTATAGTAAATATTTTATGGCAATATTACCCATGGGAAAATAAGACTACAGACCAGAATATATTTTATAACTTAGTTAAACATATTTACAAATTATTTTCCAACTTTAAACTCTTAAAACTCAATACTTTCTTTAGTCAAAATATATAACCAATCAATTTTCTCATTTATTTCATCCTTTATATTAATCAAAAACGTCCAACAACTATTTAAAAAAAACTATTTAAAATTTAACAGACCATATTTACCGATTTCCAAAGGATTAATTTTCCACAGGAAATTATTCAGATGGCTTAAATTAATTTTAAAATTTATACATTTACTTAAAAACCCAATTAAAATCCATAATTGAATTTCCTATATCTCTCTCCAACTTTATAATATCCTGGAATTCGGAATACATTTGCTGGCCTCGTAAAAACCAATCTCTGTTAACAACCGAAAGCCTTAATTTAAAGTAATTTTCTATGCTTCAGACTTGACAATTATAATATGATTTATGATACTCTCATTGATTACCGATCTGTATTAATATTTGCTAATCACGGGTTAGCGTTTGTTGTAAATACCTCAAGTTTTTGTTTGCCTTTTGGCGGCTTGCAAGTGAATCACTGGCTATTAGCCATAAAAACCCAGTTAAATGATTTTATTTTCCATTGAAAATCAAAGCGAATCTTATGTCAACTTCCTTTGTTATACATTTCGCTTTGGTTTTCTGATATAATGCAATTTTTGAAAAGTGCAGAAATGGCCACAATTATGGCCAATAGAGATTGGCCAAGCTGGAGCTGTGAGATAGGGTGTTAAGTGGGGGGGTCAAGCGTTCAGCACTATAATTTACTTAAATGCCAATTGAAAATTGAGGCAAGTAAATTGATTTGATATTTTTACAATTATTATTAAATTAAAAACAAAATAAATGGAATTGAACTACATTTTATATTATTTTCCTTACTCCATATAATTTTTATTTATTATGTTTTTTATTTTATTTATTTTATTTTGAAATTCCAGTTTATTTGTACAACATCGGCAGGCGTTTTCTGGCCATCACCCAGCCATTCGATCCGGCCAGAAATCCGGATGCCTCATCGCTGTGCCGCCGCCAGATGCGCCAATACCTGGATGCCTTGGACAACTTTGATTTGTGGGCGCTGCAAAGTGAGTAGAGTAAACAAAAACAAAAACAAAAAACCCCACCGGGAGGGGGATTTCTTCAAGGCCATGCCGTGACAGTAAACAAATTAGCCAAAAGAGCAAAGTAAGCAAAGCAAACAAAAAGAAGGCGGCATCGCCGGTTCTAGTTCTGCAAGTGGATAATAGTTGGTCTTGGATTGGCTGGATGGATAGCCACTTGGATGCTTGGATACTTAGAACCAGTCGGGGGACGTTTCAGCTCGAATTCGAGTCATTGCCAACTGGCCTCTGCCGGCGAGTAGTGTGACCGCCAGACGAGTCGACATAAATCGAAAGACCCCAAAGTCATCTGTGCCTCAAAATCGTAACAGTTGTGATCAAAATAATAGTGGCAATAGTAATATATGGAAGCGATATATTTTAAATATTTATTTAATATTTTATTTTTCATATTTGAAGTCTCTAAAGTATTTTATTTTGAAGCCAAAGTTATAAGAGTTAAAGCTTTATTTTTCTTACATTTTAAAAATTAATTGCAAATTATTTTCAAGTTAAGAAAAAAATCACCTCCAGTTGTAAAATCATAATACTATATTATTTACAAACGAACTGACTTTTAAAAATATCAAAAAATTAAAAAAACTCTTTGCTTTTAATAACTAAAAATGAGGAAAAATAAAATCCCAAAGAACATAAAGTTACAGCATGTAAAACACTTGCTTGTTTTGTCCGACACTGTAAACTGCAGCTGTGTGTGCGCGCCAAAGTGAAGGCCAACCGTCGAACTTTACCCACATTCGCACACACACACACACACATTGTTGTGGCATTGCCAATTGCATCTAGTGAATTTTTTTCTTGCCAAGAGCAGCAAAATTGCAAACATCGAGCGAAAATTGCGATTGCTAAAGGCAGTGATTCCACGCGAACTTGACACAAAAGACCGCAACGTTGACTGCGGCTCAGAATCAGAACGAGACACAAAACGAGTTGCGATCACAGTCAAGGTCACCACCCCGCCACCCCACACACACATACACAATTACACATTACACCTTCAACCAGGGAGAGCCGAAAGCGAAACGTGAATGGATCACAATTATAAGCTATTTGAGGAATTTTGCAATTTTTAGATCAAAATAATAGCAATTAAAGTATAGTTTTTTGTATGTTAAATATTTATTAACATTTTAATTTACAAGACAAGCTATAAACATAAGGTAACTCAGGAAGTAGATCAGTCCTCAAACTTACTTTTGCCTTGCTTAAAAAAAAAATAAAGATATTTAAAAAATATGTATACATTTTTAATATATTTCTATTAAAGCTTAAAGCTGTCTAAGAAAGTATATATACTCATTTAATCTTTTAAAGATTTCATTAATATATCCACCTTGTTATAGGTCCACATTAGCTCTTTCTTTTAACTGTTTTGCCATCAATCAAAGCTCTTAAGAAAGTCGTATAATCATGCTAATTTTAACCAATTTTATTGACATTAATTTAAAGAAAAGAACAAGGATTTTTATTACACTAAATAAATTGGAGAAAGAAAAAATTTAAACGAGCAACGAAATTAATTAAAATGAATAGAAAACAACATTTTGTCTAAGAGAAGAGATGGCTTAATTAAAAGAAAATATAAAAATTTTAAATTTAAATTCACAGAAGTAGAAATAACATAAAATATATAATTTAACAACTTAATAAAATATCATTTATATTTATTTATTATTCATTATCTATATTCCCCTTTTATTTTCCAGTGCACGATGCCAGTGGCAAGCTAAACTCCGGCATTTTGAATGGCAACATCAATCAGCCCGGGGACTTTGATCAGTGCTTGGGCATCCAGCAGCGGATGAAGAAGGACAACGACCAGGATCAGGATCAAGATGACCTAATACTCCGCGGCCAGTATTGTCTGGCCTATGCCCAACCAGTCCTGCCCCACAAATCGAAGCGTCTGCAGAGCTTCTTCAAGCTCATCCAATCCCATGGACCCTTCAAGAGCGAGTTCAATGACGTGAGTATATGCTACCTCTGTGTGTCCCTGGGACTGCTCCTCCTCTCCCCCCTCTCCACCATTCTTCACCAGTTGAGAGAGCCTTTTAGGGGGTGCACGTGACCAAGATCTGGAGATTATTATAGATGGGGCTCTATATGAATCATTTAATTTCACATAAAGGCTTTCGAGTTAATTGCTTTTAATGGGTTTTATGGGGTCTTTAAGGTTTTTGGGCATACAAAAAATATTAAATTGACAAATTTATATATATATTTTATTTTTTTTAATTCCTAAGAATTAAATTTGTTTATTAAAAATATTTTTTAATATTTTCTCTTTGAATTAGAATTTCTTTAGAATTGTTCCCGAATATAAATATTTATTTCAACTTAACTTATTAAATATTTATTTATTTTGTTTGGTTTTTAAATTAAATTTAACCTGAAAAATCCATAAAAAATTATTAAAAATTATTACAATTCATTTTTAAAGTTCAATTCAATATTATTCAAGTATAAATCAGGCTCTGATGTATTATTCATTTTTGTTTATGTGAAAGTTAAATGTCGGCCAAATAGATTGATTAACATTGGGCCGCTAAATCGTTCGACTTCGACATTGAACTTGAGCCAAGACGAAAAGCAAAGCCGGCAAAGCGATCAAACGCGATAGATGGCCATAAAATGCAAATCGAAGCTCCGAGAGAGCTTCGAGTGGAGCTCCGGCCACTGAACCCAATATACGGACGGGTTTCTCGTGCGATTCTACATAGATCTCCATCTCCGCCTCCTCATACTCCTCCTTCTCCTCCCCATTGCCTTGAGGAGAATCGAAACCCACGGAAAGCATCCCTCCCATAAAGTCGTTATTAGTGATTTATATCACTCATACGCAGTGTGTGAATTTTGTGGAATTTATTTATATTTATGGGAAAATATCAAAGAATGAAATACTGAGTCTGTTCCGGTTGTTTAACGTATGAAAAATATCTGAATTGGAGACATGAAATTTACTATGAAAAAGCTTAGTAATAACTATATTTAAAAATTAAAATATTTAAAGCTTATTCTATCAACTCTGAGAGTATACTGTTTTAAACCAATTAAAAATATAAGTAAAAAATATAATATTAAAGGAATAATTATGCAAAAAGTTTAAATAATAAACATTATCAAATTAAAAAAAAAAAAAAGTTTCAATTTTTTTAAAAAATTCAAATTTAAAAAATCTGTAACTCTGTTAAAAATGCATTAAATTCAATACCGAAAACTGTTTTATGTTAGTTTTTATTAGGTTAATAAAACTGCTTTCTTTGGTTACATTTTAAAAAATTAAACATTTTTTTTCAATTTTTGAGAATTTAACGTTGTAACCCCTTATCAAAATTTGGTAAAATATCAAAAAATATGATTTTCCTCCGGACATAGCTTAAACGATTTGGCTGGCGATGCTGATCAAGAATATATATGATTTATGGGGTCGGAAATGACTCCTTCACTAAATAAATTGTAAAAACCCTTCACAAAGACCTAAAAGATTATAATATTTTTTATGTCTTTATCTGTGGGCAATTTTAATTTAAAAAATATCATAACTAAGCCAAAAAAGCACCAAATTCAATTCGGTAAACTTTTTTATGCTCATTTTTAATAGGCTAACAAATCTGCATATTAAATTTAATTTTCCAAGAGATTTAAATTTTTGAATTTTTTTTATGACAATTAAAAACAATGTTAAGACATAAAATTAAAAAAAAAAATTAAAAAATTTTGTTTTCTTCCAAACATGGCTAGATCGACTCGCCTGGTGATGCTGATCAAGAATATATACGGTTTATAGGGTCGGAAATGACACCTTTACTTGGAATTGTTAAGGAAACTGGTTAAAATACGTTTTAAATATGGATTTTAAAAATATACAAATTTATTTTATATAAATCTACCCAGATTATTCCTCCTTTTATAATTTATTTTAATTATTTGCATACAATTTTTGCTTCTTAAATTAAATCTTTGAACCTAATTTGCATTAAATTCTATGAAGTAAGAAAACAAGTTCTAATTTTTTTTGTTTATTTATTTCTTTCTTATTTTTTTTTTTTTTTGGTGATAAAGCGATGCTTTTTATGAATTTTGTTGTAATGTAAATTAGACAACGAACGCGCAACCTGGCTTAATTGAATGACCGCAATTCCCGCTTAACTAGTCTTTGTCTCGATGCAATGGGGGGTCAACAACACCCACCGGTGATTCACTTACATTAAGGAGGAGGAGGGATTGCGGCACCTCCTCCTGCGTCATTGCACAGGCTTATCTCTAACCGGCTTCGATCTTTTATTCCCATTTGCAGCCCGGTCACCGAGTGCCCCGCTACTCGCTAATCAACTGGGGCCTGTGCGTGCCCTCGGGCTGCTCGGCCCGGGACGTGGAGTACAGTGTGGCAGAGTATCTGGCCAATCAGACGGCCTCCACGGGCATCAGCTTTAATGTACGCGTAGAGCCGCAGATGTGCCAGGTGAGGGATCAGCGGCCCTGGGATAGGAACACCACCTGGGCAGTGCGCTTCTTTGTGCTGATACTCTCCGTGGCCATACTGTCCACCATCTACGATCGCTCCACCAAGTCCCAGCCCAAGCAGAGTACGTGTTTTCAATTTAAATAAAATGTAATTGTTTATTTATTATATTTTCAACCCCCACAGATGCCTGGTTCACAGCCTTCTCGCTGGACAAGAACCTGCGCTGGCTGTTCAGCACCAGCAGTGCCCCCGGTGACATTGAGGCTGTCCATGGCATCCGCTTCCTGAATGCCATCATGCTGATCTTCTCGCACAAGTCGATGGCCATGTTCTTTAATCCCTACAACAACCGCACAGCCATGTCGGAGAGCCTGGGCCAGCCCTGGACGGTGATTGGCAGGGCTGCCTCCCTGTACACGGATCCCTTCTTGCTGTTCAGTGGCATGCTCACCGCCTACTCGCTCTTTGGACGCCTGATGAAGCAGCAGCCCATTCGGCTGAAGAACGAGTACATCAGTCGCCTGATGAGAATTGTCCCTCCCTTGGCCGCCTTGATCCTGTTCTGCACCTATGTCCTGCCCTTGTGGGGCAGTGGGCCCCAGTGGAACCTGGTGGTGGGCCATCATGCGGATATTTGCAAGAAGAACTGGTGGCGCAACCTGCTCTTCATCCACAACTACTTTGGCTTCAGCGAGATGTGCCTGACGCACACGCACCACCTGGGCATTGATACGGAGCTCTTTGCCGTGGCTCCTCTGCTGATACTGGGACTGTGGCGGTGGCCACGACGGGGACTCATGACCCTGCTGCTGCTCTGCACAGTGGGCACGGCGGCCAGATACTACACAACAATAGTGAATCAGCTTTCGAATTATATATACTTTGGCACCAAGTGAGTGGTTGTTATAATCGTTTTATAGAGCTCTTTGTGATGTCTAAAATCCCCGCCAGCATCCAGCGATTGTTCCGCACGGCCGACTACATGTACTCGTTCCCGCCACATCGCTCCACGGTGTACATCATGGGCATCCTGCTGGGCTATGTCCTGCGAAAGTATCAAAATGCCAGGCTGAGCAGCCTGCAGCTGAGGCTGGGCTGGCTGGTGGCCACCGTTTGTGTGCTGGCCTCGCTCCTGGGACCAGCTCCAATGGGTGACATCAACTATGTGTATAATTCCACGCATGCAGCCATCTACGCGGCCTTTGCCCCCATAGCCTGGTGCCTGTTCTTCTCCTGGATTGTGTTTGTGTCTCACAATGGTTACACGAGTGGGTTTCATTATTTAATTTCTTATTTATTAAATATTTATTTCTAAATACTTTAAATTTCCAGATAAACTAACGAAGCTGTTTGCCTGGCGCGGCTTCCAGGTGTCCACAAAGCTCTCGTACGCCATTTACCTGACGCAGTTCCCCGTGTTTTTCTTCAATGTGGGCCGAAGGCGTCATATACATCACTATTACAACTTTGTTTCGATTATAGTGAGTATAATTAATACTAATTAATTTATTAACAAACAAACTTATGCTTTACAGCTCGACACCAACGAGTTCATATCGATCTTCCTGGCCTCCGTGGCCCTGACGGTGCTCTTCGATGCACCCTTCCAGAATCTGAAGAAGCTGCTGATCAAGCGGCCCACGGCCACCGTGGCAAAGGCAGCTCCAGAATCAGTGGAGGCTGCGACGACGAAGCCCAGCCCTAGCACTGCCCGCCATGCGAAACCGAATCCAAATCAGCATCCGCACTCCGATTAGCACACTCCCCTTTTTTAGCATGTAAACTTGTAAATGTCTTCTTAGCATTTAGTGGCAAATATGTTTAGTTAAACCCGGCGATATACCCAACCCGAGCCCCTACCCTTCCCTAGCTATAGTCGAACGCTTTATACATTGTAAATTGTACTGTTAGTCAAGAGTCGAGCGACAGAATGAGAAGGATAACACTTTCGTAGTCATAGAACCGATCAATCAATCACTGCTTGATGTGCGATATTATCTTGCTTGCTTAAAACCGAGGGGCAGTCGGAGGAGTTTAGGATATCCTCGAGGCCCGAATGTTTCTTAGATATTAAACTTACCTTACCCTAAGCAAGGTCGAATGAACGTATTTTTTTTTATAATTTAATTAATGAAATAAAATAAAGAAAAATGTTACAGAAAAAGCTGAAATAATTGTAAGAATTTTATAACCGCTGGAAAGTATGCAATATACAAGTTCAGAGCATACAGTTTGAGAAGTCCTGAAAAGAATACAAATTCAGAACATACAGTTCGACAGGTTTTGAAAAAAAAGATACATCTTTTCTGGATTCACTGGAAGAGAAGAGCCTTTACAAACCTCTAATTTCTTAGTTTAAAATGAGAAGGACGCCCTATTGTTTATATTCCTATACTTGGGGTATGATTTTCTATGCAACCTGATATAGTTTAAATAAAAGAATTGAAAAGATTTCTGCTTTAGAACCTATTAGAAATACCCTTTAGCTCCTAGTTCTTACTTTATGCCAACTTAAACAAAGATTTAAAAAATATTCTCTTTTGAAAAACCCTAAAAAAAAAATGATCTACAACATTTTATCATTAACCAATAGCAAAGATTTATATATAAAAAATGAATTAAGCTAATTTAGAAGGGTATTCAATTCCAAGTTAATTTTTTAAACAAATTTCTAAGGCTTAGTAAACGATTAAATGACTTCTTTAATATGATATAAAGCAGTTGCTAAGCTTAGTAAGGTTTGATTTAACAATAAATTTGAATACTTTAATAAATATAAGATAGTAATTTTAGAGGTTTAATTAATAAAGAAATATATAGAGTACGTTTCTTGGGATAAGTAAAATGTAGATCATGTGAAGTTGGCTTAAATTGAGAGCGTAAAGACTTGTAATGGTTGAAACCAATATTTGTTTTGATTCTATTTAATGGATTTAATTCCTCTGACTAAAGTTTCAAACATTTCAGTTTAATCCTGTTTTTAAGCTCGTTCTAAGAAGTTTACTAATCAATTTTAGATGAAACCAAAGGGTAGAGGGAATATCAAAGCTTGACATGATTAAAACTAAATGCAGTAATGCCTCGACTTTATATAAAATGCTGAATATAAATTGCAAATTAAGCAGAGTTCTAAAAACGACTGCTTCTTCTGAAGGTTATGAACCTTTGTCCTACAAAATATAATTTGCAAATTAAGCAGAGTTCTATCCTCAACCAAGACCTAAAACTTTCTATATTCTTGGGCACACTTCCTCTTAAAGGCTAAGAACCTTTTGGCTGTAATCCACTGCAAATAATACAACTGAAAATGGAAAGGTTATCCTGCTCAAAATATATATTCTTCCTCGGCAACTTTATAAATATAAAACCAAATTTACCAGCTCCAAGGGACAAAGATCATTTAACTGGGTTAATAATTGAAATATAATTATTTTAATTCAAGATTTAAAACATATATAAATATAATATGGCAAGGAAAATCTTAGCGAAACATTTTTAAATTGAAATGAAAAAATATTTACAATTTAACTAGGTAAATTATTCAAATAGAATCATTTTAACTTTAAATTTAATGCATAAAATTCATTTAATTTAATTTAAAAATAGAATATGGCAAGGCAACTCTTTGCGAAACATTTCTAAATTGAAGTTAATTGTATACTTTATAAAGAAAAACATTTAAAAGTGTTAAACTCACAACGAAATTTGATGGGAAAAGCTGCTTAGACATTTGATTTTCCTTTTCTTTGAACAGAAAACATTCAGTTAATGATCTTCGATACCTTTTTGCTGGTAAATGCAGGCGAGGCCTTGAGCCATGTCTCCAGAACCACTTCCACGAGGTTTCCGTTTTGAAAACAACAATGCTCGGCTTCCTTTAACGCGGAATAAGCACTGGAAACATGGCTGCTTCCTCGAGGTTAGGTTCATTGAAGCCTTTTGCTTTTCGGGTAGAATTTTCTTCACAATTCCGTTCACTTTTCTTTTGGCACATTAAAAAAATAGTCACCATTCACTTGGTTGAAAAAAAAAAACAAACATTTATTATCCTCGATCTTTTATTAGCTTGCCGGCGGCGACAGTTGGTTGATGGGGCTTTTCGGCTCTGCCGGCGGCCATTTCTAAAGATTTATCAGCTAATTTATGTTGTGTGTGACGAAGGAGGGCCTCCCTCTGCCTATTTGCCGGCCTGGACGGCCTTCTTGGGCTTGGCCTGGGTACCCTCGCGGAATCCGTTGCGGAAGCGACGACGCACAACCTTCAGGTGGCGCATGCGACCGGTGCCGGTGGTCTTCCTCCTCTTGGCCTTCACCGACCAGTTGTCTGTTGAGGGAAGAGATTAATTAGCCAAGGTACTACATGGATCACCAAGAGATACTCACAGGAACGCAGCTTGGCGGCTGGGTAGCCGCACTGGGCGCACGTCGACTTCTGGATGTGGTAGGAGCTGCGGCCACAGCGACGGCACAGGGTGTGCGTCTTGTTGTGGCGTTTACCAAAGCTGGATGTACCCTTCGTCTGTGGGGGGTGGAGACACAACAAAACAAATTATTCATTATCACTTTTCATTAACAAAAATATAAACACTCGAATTCCCGGCGCTTCCGGCCTGGCCACTTGCTAAATTCCATTAAATTCGCAATTCTCATTGCCAGTACTCTTTGAGCGGCGCACTTTAGTCGCAAAATTGTCACTGATGGCCGGGAATTGGAGCGATTTTATTTTGGAGCTAACGTGGGTCTCTTACGCACCATCTTGAGAGGCGAACGGTAGAAAAAGAAAGAGCGGAAGAGGAGATGACAGTCGCTGTCGTTGAAAAATCGATTTTAGTAGGGATGCAAAAACATCGATAGTGAGTACATCACTAGATTTTAGTGCCCAAACTATCGATTGAAAAAAAATCGCAGGGTTGTAATTAACAGTCGCGCCCAACAGCACATACGGACTGTTAAGACCGTGCAACTGCGAGCTGTTTTGGGGGTTGAAATAATTAAATATATATTTAATAAATTTATATTTTATAAAATTAATAACATAAATAATTGCTTTAAATTTCTTTACTTTTTTCTTGCCAAATAATATTGTTTATTGTGGCTAAAAATATTAACAGCACACTGTCAGAGGATATATCGATATATTCATATTATCTTTTTGCGTTTTTTTTAAGAAGGTGTTATAGTTTTAAATAAAATATTTAAAATAAAAAGCTGCAGTAAAATTTATTAAAAATGTTATTTATTATTTATTAGCATTGAAATTTTTAATTTTTTTTTCACCCTAATTTTTGGTACTTTTTATGTTAACAGAAATATTCCAAAATTGCCACTCACTAGAAAAAATAATTATCGATAATTAACAGCTGCAACTGTCAAAAAACTGTCAAAAAAATGACTAAATAGTCGATAATTTAAACATCAGCTGTTTACCGGCAACTAATTTAATATTTCCCGCCACCTTTAAATTCAAATTCATCACAATTTTTTTTCAAAATGCTGTGTTTATTTTATTTTATTTTATTGATTTTATAATTTTAAAAATATAATTTTTAAATGTTGTAATTTTATAATTTTTTTAAAATTAAATTAAATTTTGAATATTTTTTAAATAAAATAAACATATAAATAATAAACATGATATATGTATAACTTGATGAATGAGCTGACCATATAGAAAATAAAGGGCCAAGAACACTCCCCTTGATAAATAATAATATATTACTATTTTTAAATATTTCGCTAATATTAATATTTATTTTGATATATTATTTTTATATATATATTATTTTATTTATTATATTATTTATATTTATATAATACTATTTATATTTATTGTTTGTTTATTTTATTTTATTTTATTGATTTTATAATTTTAAAAATATAATTTTTAAATGTTGTAATTTTATTTTTTTTTTTTTTTAAATTAAATTAAATTTTGAATATTTTTTAAATAAAATAAACATATAAATAATAAACATGATATATGTATAACTTGATGAATGAGCTGACCATATAGAAAATAAAGGGCCAAGAACACTCCCCTTGATAAATAATAATATATTACTATTTTTAAATATTATAAATTATTAATATTATATTTATTTTGATATATTATTTTTATATATATATTATTTTATTTATTATATTATTTATATTTATATAATACTATTTATATTTATTGTGATTTTTCTTGGAATTTTTAAAGATTTTATAGGACCTCTCTCTCTCTCCCTCTAATTCAAACTCTCGCTCTGCCTCGCTCTGTCTCAATCTACCTCTCTCTCTCTCTTTCTGTCGATGTACCTCTCTCTCTCTAGCTACCTTTAAATAGAGGTACCTACGCATTAGCTGCCTTGACTTAAACGCTCAACCGGCAAATTTCTTATTAAACAGTCAATAAAATCAGCTCGCGGCAGCAGCTAAACAAAGCAAATAAAAACATGCTTGGTTGATTAAACCGAGCAGAGCGGAGCTGAAAGCTGATAAGCTAAGCTCCGCTCTTCGTGTATGAGAGCGCACACACTGAGAGCGGAGCTGAGCTTATCAGCTTTCAGCTCTGCTCTCAATATGCGCGCTCTCATATACGTAGAGTTTGTGTGTGTGTTTGATTCTCTGACATTATCGGCTCTCTTATCAGCTCTCTTATCAGCTCAGCCCTTAGCTCTGCTCTCAGCTCTGCTCGCAGCTCTGCTCGCTGCTCTCGCTTACCTCAGAGAGCGGATAAGCTCGCTTATTAAATCAGCCGTAAGCTCTCTCCGCAGTCCTCTCTCCCCCCAGCTACCTATTAATAGAGGCACTCCTACCGGTGCCTCTCCCCCCGCGTTCACTTGTTCGACCCTCCCCTCGCGTTCACCTGGAAAAGTGCAAGTAATGATAACAAGCTCTCTCGATCTACCTCTCCCTCTCCAGCCACCTCTCTCCCTCCAGCTACCTATAACTATAGGCACCCCTACCGCCGCAGCTTCAGTATGTGCGTCTCTCCCCTCGCGTTCACGTGTGCACCTGTGCTTATCAGCCCATCGGATGATCGCTGGAAAAGTGCAAGTTGTGATAACAATCGAGCAAAAGACACCAAAAATCTTAGCAATTGAAGGAATAAATCATCGCTGAATAATAAATCAGCTTCAGTAGTGCGCCCCTCCCCTCGCGTTTACCTGTGCGTCTCTCCCCTCGCGATGACGTGTGCACGTGTGCATGTCAAACCATCGGATGATCGCCGGAAAAGTACCGTTTTGCTGAAACAGTACAAGTTGTGATAAAAATCGTACAAAAACACCAAAAATCTCTGCAATGGAAGGAATAAATCATCGCTGAATAATAATCATGCATAATCATGAATAATCATCATCATCAAGAATCTGTGAAATGGAAGGAGTTAATTATCGATGAATCTCAGCCAAGTCTGCGATGGCGATGAAAGATAACTGCGGGTAAGTGCAAGTCAAAACTAATAATAATCTTATGCAAATACAAACTAATTTAAAATAGCTTTGCGAATTAAAATTAAGGCATTTTCGGCTTAGTTATTAAGTTTTTCAGCTGTTGTTTTCCCAAAAATAATTAATTTAAAAGTGAAATTATTTAAAACATACTTGAATCCTTTCCCTCCCCTAATTTATAATTTAAATTCAATTTTTTGTAGTAAAAATATTCATTGTTTTATTTATGAAATATATTATTATGATTTACACTGGAAATAATGCACGAATTTCAAATAATTATAAATAAAAATAATTCAATTAAAAATGAAATTATCTAAAACTTACTTGAATCTTTAAATAACATTCTTTCCTTCCCCAAATTAATAAATTAATTCCATTTTTTTAGTAAAAATATTCATTGTTTTATTTATGAAATAAATTATTATTATTTACACTGGAAATAATGCACGAATTTCAAATAATATTGCATGCCCGGGCGGCACCCGAAAACAAAATCTACAAATAGGCTTTTAGAAATACAAATACAGGGCGATACACATATAATAGTATAATAATGGTAGTGGGGATACAAAAATAATGTTTACTAATGGAGAATGAAATTCAAGGGAAAATGGTAATGGAAATGGAGTGTTTCGGGGGGGGATTTCATCTAGGGTTTTAGGGTTTTACGTAACTAATTTGCGACTATGAGCAAGTCGATTTGGCTTGAGGGACCTCAAACGAAACCAAGTTGCACATAATTTGGCTGCAGCTGTGATCCTGCTTGCTGGGGGGTGGCGATGGGGGCTAGGTGTGGGTAAGGGATGTTCAAGGATGTGCTGGTGCTTTGCAACTAATTACTACGTCTCGGTTTTCTTTTTTTTTTTTTTTCTTTTTGTGGACCTCTCTCTCTTTACATAAAACTAATTCATAGAGAAAATTTAACTAAGAACCTTACGAAAAGCTTTGCGAATAAATTATACGAGTTTCGGGCATAAACATATTTTCCGGGGGTGATTCCGGAGAATGGAAATCTTTAAAAATCTTTCCAAATCTCTCAAAAAATCTCCTTTAACCATATATCTCCCAGAACTCGCCCCCTTGAATATAGCTAAGTATTGACTTGCAAGTTAAAGGACCTCTGGCTCCACATTTTCGCTATGAACAGAAAAGTCTCCTCCTGATCCAGATCCAGATCCTGTCTTGACCTTATTCTTATATAACTAAAGCGCGAAAAAAAACTGTTGCTAAAATTAAACAAAAAACGTTTCGTTGTTGCGCTCACTGCTGCAGCTCTCCGACTTCTCCTCTTCCTTCTGTTTTTTTTTTTTGGCTACTGCCGCTCCACATTGATGGTAATGACCATGGTTGGTCAATAGTGGCCGCCACCACCTCCTCCTCCAACGCCGCCGCCGCCACTGTGTCGGTGGTGTTCGCGTCTGCCGGAGGACTGATCACGATAGTCGCCATTGCGGGAGCTGCTCTTGTGGTGATGGTGATGGTGACGCTTCTTCTCGCCCTTCAGGCACACGTCGGAGACCACCATTTCGGAGTCGTCACGCATACCATAGTTGTCCCTGCCGCATCTGTTGCAGGGGATTTGTTGTTAAAAATAAATGAATAAACAATTGTTATGGGAGACCACCCACCTGTCCAGATTCTCGCGGGAACGCTGCATGTTGTCGCGCAGATTGTCGCGGGAACGGGTCATGCTCGGCGGATCGAGGGTCTCCTTGCGACGCAGGGCATTGTGCGAGCTGTTCTTCGAGGCGGACTCGTGCAGGTTCTCCCAGGCCTGGCGGTAGTACCTGTAATAAATTAATAATTTTCATAAATGATATGGCAAGTCCAGCGATTTGGGAATATTTTGGAAGGAAGTGTTGCTCACCTGTTGAGTCCGTTGCGGGATCCGGAAGTGGAACTGTCGAAGCTGGCCACGGTATTGCAGTCGGGCGAGGCGCGATGGCGATAGTGTTGAGTGGTTCGATTTCTGCAGGAAAAGGGAGATGGATATATTTGATTTATTTATTAAAATATTTTCTTTTTAATATTTTACTATATATTTTTCTGAATGCCAGGACGAAAGAGTGTTTGGGGTTAGTCACAAAGTTCAGGCAACAAATGGGGGGGTTAGGTACTACGCACACACAGAGCCAGATGAGAGAGAGACAGATATATAGAGGGGGGAAAGAGACAGGCAGGCAGGCTACAAGAGACAGAGACAGAGACGGAAACAGAGCAAGAGCGAGCCAGGCGTGCAGTGTGAAAGAGAGTCCCCACATAGTGTGATTAATGGGTGTTTGATTGAGCGGATGAGCTGATGGATTGATGGGTTGAAGGTGCAACAGCCAGGAGTAGGAATCGCCACACAGCCCACAGCATTCGCAGCAGTTTTATTTTGTATTTTTTTGTTTGGTGTTTCAGTGTTGATTGTTTGGTTTGATTGACTGATTGATTGATTGTTTGGTGTGGTGTTGTTCTTAGTTGGTTGTGTTCTTGGGCTGCTTACATTTTGTGCATATTTATGGCCGCTTTGATCAGCTGATTGACTGGCTGATTGATTGACTTGCTTAACTCTCTGGGTGTTTTCGTTTCTCCTTAGAATTTATTCGTTTTTCATAGAGTTTTCTTGATTTTTCGTTTAATTTTCTTAATTTGTCTTTAGGTTTCTTGATTTTCCTTGGGTTTACCTAGCTTTTCCAAGCTTTTCTTGAATTTTCTTAATTTATCTTTCGTTCATTTTGGGTTCGTTGATGCATCTCTTTGGCACTCGTTATGATCTCTTGTCCAGGTAGTCTCCAGGTTGTGTTTTTGGCTCTTCGATCTCTACTCCTCTTTGGTGGTTATCTCCTCCTCCTGCCCATGCCATCCCTGGGTTACATGTGCGTCGTGGTCGTTGAGCTGCTGAAGAGCCCCGCCCGGGTCCTATATCCCCGTCCGTAGCTGCTAAACTCCCTCCTGCCCAGCTTCTGGTCATCGAAGGGCAGCGCCAGCACACTGTACCACAGGGAGTTGGGATCTCGGTCCTGGTCCGCATCCTGATTACGCCTGGAGGTGATGCTACCGTAGCCCTTGGTGCTGGTCAGTTGGGCCGTGGACGCGTAGCTGGTGGCGCTGGTGGCCGTCGCCGTGGCATAGCTGGGCAGTCGGCTGGGACGCGGTATGCCACCACCAGACCTCTTCCCGAGGCCGAAGCCGAGACCGAGACCGAGCCCGATGCCGATGCTGTTCCCGTTCCGGATACCCTGAGATCCCTTCGCCTGGCCGTGCTGTTGGTGCTTCTGCTGGAGGCGGTACTTCTGCTGTTGGAGCTGTTGCTGTTGCTGCTGGAGCTGGTGGTGCTGGACCTGGTACTGGCACTGGTGCTGGTGGTGCTGGTGGAGCTGCTGGTGGTGGTGATGATGAGCATGATGATGTTGGTAAGCAGTTAAGTGTTTGGCTAGGTGCCGCCGTTGGCTGTTCGGGGTGCTGACGGTTTTGGTTTTGCCAAAAAGTACAGAGAGTGGGAGAAGCAAAAACGAAAAAAGAGAGTTGTACAACGAGAGAAAAAGAGAAAGCGTCGAATGTTCAGGTAGGTGTGTGCGTGTGCGTGAGAGACTCTCTTTGATCGAGCTAAGAAGACAGGTGAGAGATGAGAAAGAGCCAGCGAGAAAGCGAGGGGTAGCCGAGAACTAGAGAACTCAGAGAGATGGAGAAGGAGACCTGAGACAGAGACGGGGTACAGTGTGTGTGTGATAAGGATAGAGAGGCTGAGAGGGGGACAGGGACTAAGAGAGATCGGATATCGGATATCGGAGGTGGTGGTGGTGTTGTTGGTGGTGGGCAGGTGGTGACAACCCGACAACGATCGACTTTGCTCCATACGCAGACAAAAGCGTATCAATCATGGTCCAATTCGGTACTCAAGCATAAAAATCATTAAATTGTTCAATAATATATCGAATATTATCGATCAATAATCAATCAATATAATCAAAAGTTGAATTTTTAAATTAAAAAGTTAAAAAAACTGAAAAAATGTATATAAATCTGGGATACAATTTAAAAGGTTCCACCATAATTATTTAAAAAATTGTAAATTACAAAAATATATCGAAATTATCCCAATTTTTCATCGGGAACGCTATGTAGAATAGATCCAAAATTTTGAATTTTCAAATTAAAAATTAAAAATAAAAATAAAAAATTATATAATCCAAAAATAAAATTTTTGAGTCCCAAAATATTTATTTAAAATATTGCAAATTGGATAAACATATCGAAATTATCCCAATTTCGATCCCAAAATCGATAAAAATTCTAATTTAAAAATTAAAAAATGTAAAAAACGGAGATACAATTTCAAAGGTCCCACAATAATTATTTAAAATATTGCAAATCAGATATATACACTGAAATTATCCCAATTTGTATATATTCGATTTAGAATCAATAAAAAATCATTGAAAATATTCGAAATTGGACAACAAAATCGACCTCGACTGACCACTGATCCCCGGGTTATATATAGCCCAGACCAGGACTCACCTTCGCACCAGGATCACGATCGTTGTGATGACGGCGGCCAGGAAAACGAAGCCACCGAAAGCACCCAGAGCCACAATGGCCCCCAGATTGAGCTTGGCCTCCTTGGTCTCCTTCCGGTCGGGATTGTCGACAGCAAACGGTACATTGACATTGGGCGACTGATTCTGTTGGATGTTGACGCTGTCGGGGATTTCGTTGTCCTGCGGATGCGAGTTGGCAATGATCTGCTGTGTGTTCCTCGTGGTGGTCTCCACCGGAGCACCGCTGGGGCGGCTGCGCGGCGGCGACGGGGCATAGGTTGAGGGCACCTGCGGCGGCTGGGGCACATGCTGTGTGCTCGGAGGCACTGCAGCCGCCGGTGTGCTGCTGCTCGGCTTCTTCGGGATGAGCACGGGTCGGACGGTTCGGCGCGGAGGGAACTCCTCGCGAACGGTGCCGGGCACGGGCACATTGATGATATCCTCCTCGGATTCAGCTGGAGAAGGGATAAAGATGATGTTGTTATTGGTTCTCTAGAGTCCTCGAATCTCTGTCTACTCACACTCTCCGTTGATCTCCACCTGCGTGGGCCGGAGGCTGGGGTAGGTGCCCACAGTGCTGGAGCTGCTGCTGCTGACAGTGGACACAGCCGGTCGATAGGGTGTGCGGCTGGTGGTCGAGCTGGACACCACGACCTTGGGCCGGAAGGGTGGCGGCGTGGCCACCGATGAAGGCACCGTGGGCGCCGCTGTGGGCTGGGTAGATGGCTCCAGTTTGATGCAGCGCGGCAGGGCACTGCTCCACTGTCCGCTGGCCAGGCAGCTGAGCACTCGGGGTCCTTCCATGCGATAGCCGGGCGGGCAGCTGACCTCCGCCTTGGAGCCGTAATAAGTGCCATTCGGGGCATGGATGATGGTGTTGTAGTAGTTGCCCGGCAGAGTGTCGCATTCCACAACTGGGGGAAGAAAGGGAACATTTAATGTTAAATCGAAATGGAATAATATCCTTGAGGATAAGTCTTTAATCCTGGCTAAAACTCACTCTCGCAGCGTGGCGGCGGTCCGTTCCAGCGCTCGTCAAAGTCACAGGTGAGCAGGGCCCGACCGATCATCTCGTATCCCTCCTCGCAGGAGTACTTGACGAGGCTCAGGTAGCCCACGGTGTTGTTCAACAGGGCGTATGAGCCATGGGCAATGCTGGCGGGGAGGCCACATTCGATATCTGCCAGGAAAATAAATCATACATAAAAAATCTAAATAAATAATAAAAAGATTCCCAACTCACACTTGCACACCGGCGGAAACTCGTTGTAGAAGCCCGTCTCCAGGCAGGTGCGCGTGGCGGGACCCACCAGCAGGTGATTCGCATCGCAGCTGTACTTGATCTGGGCGCCCACCTCGAATCCATTGAGGGCCACCATCGTGGAGTTCGGCGGCTGCTCCGGCCTGCCGCACGTCTTCGGCTGATGCTGGCAGATGAAGTTCAGTAGCGTATTGCAGTTGGTGTCGCTCCACAGCCATCCCTTGGAGCCATCGAACCGGGCACAGTCCTCGTCGCCACCGGGATGGCTCCAGAAGGACACCGTCAGCTCGTCACCGTTCACCCACTTCCAGCTGCTGCGATCGCTGCCGTCCCGCACTGCTCCCATCCAGTACTGGGAGCTGACATCGCTTCGATGTCGTCGCCACAGCTCCCAGCTGATGAAGCCCTGCAGCGCCGGATTGCTCTCGCTGATCAGAGTGCCGCCCCGCGAGCGGCAGAAGGAGAGCGCGTCCAGGAAGTTCAAGGGCTGGCGGTTATAGAAGATGTAGCATTTGCCATTGTAGGAGGCCAAGGCACCCGGCGGCTGATCCCGGAAGGTGGGACAGCGTTCAATGGGCAGCGCTTGGTCCGTGTAGACGAAGGCCTCGCAAATGGACAGGGGATTCGGTGTGCTGTTCTCCAGGTGGACGGACACAAAGGCACCGGGCATGGGCGGATTGCAGGGCAGGAACAGGGGCTGGCCGGCCTCCAGGAGTCCGGTGAAGCGGTTGCAGATGGGATTTGTGCCCAGATCGGGGCGGTTGTTGCCCACGCGAACCACTATGGTGGCGGGTTTGTTGCCTGGGGAAAAGGTAGGGTATGTTTTAAGGTGATTTGTTAAGGTGAAATGGAAAGAATCTTAACAAAAAGATGGCAGCCATTTTTATATTATTTAGTTCTTATTTTATAATAATTAATTGTTTAAAAAAAGGTAACCCCAATTTCTCCCTCAATTCTCCACTACCTATTGGCCCTAGTTTGTGGCAGTGCAGAAGTGCAGCCTGGGCTATAGCTATTTCTATTGGCATTCCCACTGCCGTTGTCATTATTATGGTTATGGCTTTGTCTGTCAGCAGGTCAGGCGGGTTCAGCTTCAGCTTCAGTTGCAGCCTCAGCGGCAGCTCCAACATCAGCCAAGTGAAAGTAATCATAAATTTTCGGCTCGCACTGACTGACTCACTAGGTCTGGGTTTTTTTTTATATATTTTTATTTTGGTCTTCAGTCGAAGTGGAAGTCCAAGTCCAAGTCAAAGTCCAAGTCGAAGTCCAAGTCGAAGTCTTCGTCTTCGTCTTTGTCTTGGCTGTCGTCGCAAAAGCCGCACGAAAATCACATAACAAGCCGCCTCAATCGAGGAGGAGATGGTCGGAGTCGAAGTCGAAGTTGGAGCTGAAGTTGGAGCTGGGGGACTTCAGGTTGCTGGCAAGTGAAAGCATTAGGGAAAACTGGCTGGCAGTTGTTTACTCTGCATTTCGGCAACCCTTTTTTTTTGTGCCAGCCTTGGCTGGGACTCGTGCAGCATTTGCCATTTTGCCAGACAAACATTTGGAAAATTGAAAACTGCCTGGCTGCCTGCCTGGGCAGCCTGGGAAAACGGGGCATTGAACTGTCCACCGAACGGCGAGAGAGTTTCCTCCCAGAGAATGCGGTCCAGGCAGGTCCATAATCCGGCCTCCAGCATGTGAGCTGCGACAGGTTAGGGTTGGGCCTGGGGAACTGCTGACTGCGGTTTAATAAAAGCGAAAAGTTTCGCAATTTTTAATCAATTTGCCTGGCTTCGTCGTCGTCTTTCACTAAGCGCCACTTTAGCAGCCCAAAAAGACTGGCTGAAAAACATTTCTGCCAACAGAATAATTATGGTTTTGGCTTGGAATTATATCCGCCGAGATTAGGTAATTGCGGTGACTCTCGTTTTTTTTTGTTTTAGGGGGAAATTGGAAAAAATAAAAGCTAGCTTCTAAAGAGCTTCTAAGAAACTGAAGAACCTTTAAATTATTATTTAATTATTTTTTTTATATATATATTTATAATTTCATGGTGTTGTTCTCCTTATATTTTGATTACAAATTAAGTTTACTTACCACAGCAGGACTTGCCAAAGTCCAAGCGCACCAGCTGGACCATGTAGGGCTCCAGGAGATTGACATACCACCAGGGCGAACGCTCTGCCTTGGTCAGGGAGCAGGTCTCCGGGGTGAAGAAGGCGGAGGTTGAGCCATCGATGGCCTTCTGGGGTGCTCCAGCGCCCTCAGTAGAGATTTGCATGGGAGCCTTGCCAGCGGCCACATTTAAAACTGAAAAAAAGTGAATAAGAAATTAATTTTCAGAATGAATTTTTGACCTATCAGCAAGTTGAATTTTCAGTGTAGCAAATAGGGGTCATAGGTAATTATTTGGGAATTCAAAGCAAGATGCAGCAGTTCCCAAGCTGGGCCCAAGGCCCGGCTAATTGGCTGCGGGCCCTGACACGGTTTTGTGGGCAAAAGCATAGGCAAAGCTCAGCCAGCGATGTTCTGGCCTGGCGAATTTGTCAAGAGACCTTCGTTCTGGCCATTGTTTCGGTCCGACTACGACTCTGACTCTGGCCAAAAAGTGAGGCCCCGAGATGGAGTGTGGCCAAAAGCAAAAGTGAAATTTAATGGCGGCTCCGCTCGGCTCAACTTTTACTTGCCGGCGCTTAATTACATCGCTCGCCACGCACTTTTGCGGCATTGGGGATTCATTAATCAGATGCATCTGTCGGATAAGATATGCCGGGAGTTTGAGCCTGAGTTTGAGCCTGAGTTTGGCTTTCTCGGGCACTCACACACATATAGTAGTACTATATGCTATATCTCGTATCTAATGCTCAGCAGGTGTGTGTGTCTGTGTGTGTGCTTGTGGCGGTGTGACAAATGCCTTTTAATTGCTTTTAATTAATTTCCCATTGCCAGCTGCTGCCCGCCGTGTCATGTTCGAATTTAAAGTCGAATTCCGTAGCAATTTTCAGGTCGGAAATCGCTTTCAGCTTTTGTTTTCTTGTTTTCCTTTTCTTTTCCCGCGTCATCAGAGTGCAATCAGCGATTGCTTTGATTTTTTGGTCTATAAACCTCAAGACTTGGTTCAAAGCGGGTCGAAGTGTTGCTTTTTTTTATTGGAAAATAATTATAAATTAATGTCTACACTACATTTTTGAGGTGTAGTTATTTTTGTGTTTTTTCTGTTGTTCTTTTTGTGTTTGAAAGGAGCAGCAATCTTTTTCAGCTTTTATTTTATGAATTAATGATTTGTTTGATAAATAAACGAAAGTCTTTTTCAGTTATTATTTTATGAATTAAAAATACAAGAAAAACCCTTAAAAATCCATTGAAATTCTGTTGATTTCCCCCAAAGTTCCCATGGCATTATTCATGCTTATTAACACCTACTACTGTGTCGATCGAATGTCTTTTTTATCTTGATCTTTATTAATAACTTTTCTATAAAGAAAAGGCCCGTCAAAGAGTTTGATGGATCGTTGAATTGCCGCCCCTTTTTGAGCCTCCACAAACGCCTTCCCAAACCAGCAGTTTATTCATTCATTCATTCACTCACTCGCTCATTCATTCATTGATTCATTCAATTGTAGAAGACCCTTTTCCAGCTGCTCTGTTTGTGTCAATCAATTCCCTTAGTTCACGGAAGTGCATGTCTCGTTGGAAATTGATTTAGAATTCATTTGTTTGTCTTCGTGCTCGACTGGTTTAAGTTTTTTTTTCGTTTTTTCGTTTTTTCGTTTTTCTTTTTTTAGTTGTGAACAAAGTGGGTCAATTTGGTCGAGCTGGATTCTTCCCACCTCGTCTTCGGACCCCCTCTTTCTTCTGTTTCCCCTCTTTCAGCTCCCCCTTCTCTCTCTGCTCGGCACACGCACTGGTTTTTAGCCCAATTTCGCGCGTTTTGTTAATCATGTTTCGCTTTTTTTCGGTTAACAACTTTGCATTCAATCGGAATGCCATTTGCTCTCTTTCTTGCTATTTTTGTTTATTTTTTTATTTATTTTCTTTTTTCACGGAGAACGTGAGTGCACGGTGAGAAATTGGGGATGTCTTTGGGAGGTTTACGGGTTTTAAATAAATATAAATAATAAATAAATAATAATAATAAATTAATACTAATAATATATAAATAATAATCATAATAATAAAACAAACCAATAAATACAAGTAATAAATAATAAAAAGAATATAAATAATAATATATAAATATTAGCGTTATTAAAAAATTCTTAAACTTTTTGCCTAAAAACATGTTTTCCCTTTCTTTGCTTTCTTACTATTTTTTCTAATTTAAAATTGGGATTTCAAGTGCAATATATATTTTTTAAAAATTTTTTTCTATTTATCTTTTAATTTAAAATTTATTTTATTTCTATATTTCTTTTTTTTTTTTTTTTTTTTATAAATAATTTAATTTCCATGTTTCCCTTTTTATGTCTTTTCTTTTTCAAATTGTTAATTTTTCATTTCTGTGTGGAGATATTTTGAGAACGCTTCAAATTTTGTGGCGGTGAAAGTTGTCTTCCCCCCCGCTGCCCAGTTCACGTCCGAATCCAAGGCCGAATCCGAATCCGAAACCGAGTCCCAGGCGCTAATTGAGTTGACGAACAGCAAGTTCGTGTGCGCAGTCTTTTGTTTGCTTGTCTTGGCGTGTTGTGTTGGTGTTGTGGGTTTTTGGGTGATTTTAGTAGACTTACCACAGAAGGGAATGCCCTCGGGCACCCACTGGCCCTTGTCACAGACCCGCCGCGCCGGTCCCAGCAGCTCGAAGCCACGCTCACAGCTGTAGGAGGCCACCGTGCCCTGGGTGAGATTCGCGCTGGAGAAGACCACGCTGCTGTGCGCCGGTGAGCCCGGGAAGCTGCAGCCGGCATCTGGAAAGGCAAAGGTAGGAAAAGAGAGAAGAAATTAGTTCATGTTTCCAGTTAATTACAAGGAAATGATTTTTAATTAATTCATTTGCTCCAAGGGGGGTTTCTAAGAGTGTTGCTTTCTGGGGCATTTCGTTATTGGAACATTTTTTATTTAAATATTAATTGGAGAAAATAATAATTTATAAACATTTTAAGCAAGCTAGTAAGCTTTATTTTTTGTTTATTAATTATTTCTTATTGGCTCTGCCTTGTCAGAGGCTTGTGTGTCCGCAGCATTTGATTGACAATTAAGCCAGTTCCGTTCCAGTTTGGTCACTCGGTAACGACGACGCCTGGCGAAAAATCTCTGGCATTCCGCCGTCAGATTGCAAAATGTTCTCTCGGCTTCGGTTGTTATGTCTTGTCTGCCTGTTGTCAATGCAAAGCGTGAGAAAATTGCCACAACAAAATCAGCAAAACAAAAAAAAAAAAAAACAGATAGAAGCAGCGATCAATTTAGTTGTAGCTGCCGCTTGTATCTTTGTATCTCCATATAAATGTATCTATGTATCTATGCAAAAATGCTTGCCAGCCGTGTGCAATAATCAAATGTGTTGCTGCTTCGTATGATTAGTTATTCAATTGAGCAGTTCCCAGGCCCAGACTGGCCAATGTCATGAGTTTGAAACATCTCTTGGGGATGTTAATGGCAAGCACAGAGGGAAATCTGTTGTTGATTTTATTACATTTATAAATTAAATCTCTAGTTAACTTGGTTTTATCAGCACTAAAGGCTGCTTAAACACCAATTTAAGTTGCTTGTAACACACTTTTTGTCGCTGTGTGTGCAAATCGTTCTTGGCTCGGAGCTGTTAAGTGCGATTTTGCATAATCAGCGATGAGGAATGAGACTTGGAATGGGAATAACGTAGAGAAGGGGCTAGCCAGTGAGCCATAAATGGTCGAATAACTGCAACATCATTTGACCAGCAGCAGTGCAACTTTCCAAGCAGCTTCCAGCTAGCCACAAAACACGTATTGCTATACATCTATACATTTTTCCAGATGCTTCTTATACAATCCCCTCCAGTGCCAGTCCCAGTGCCTGGGCAATTTCATCATAACGGTTTTGCTGCTCATCAAAATGAGATACAGACTCTCTTGGCCACTCCAAATCAAATTAGTTCGGGCAAATTGAAATTAACAAAAAGCCAAAAAAAAAAAAAAAAAAACTTTAGCCGAGTCATTTGTCATGCAGGGCAAAACGCAAATTAAGAAATCAAGTTCATGAGGCATTTTCAATTTTCGGGCCAGAGTTTCGCTTTAGTTTCGGTTTCGGTTTCGGTCTTGGTGTCGGTTTCCGACCAGAGCAAGTACCCTGAGAAGCCAAGCCAGTAATGACGACTCCAACTCCCACGCTGTGCGTCAAAAGAAACCGAAAACCAAAAGCCAAAAACCAAAGACCGAAAGAAGCACCGAGACCGAGATGCGATCGTAGGATCGACCGAAAGGTTGCCCAGCCAGCCATGCATGACAAAGAGATGCCTAAAAAAGTGGGTAAAAAGCCAGGTAAAAAGAGTTAAGGTAAGGTAAGGTAAGGTAGGGTAGGGTAGGGTAGGGGTAACAAAAATTGTTGAAAAAAAAAGTGCAAAGGCAAACGGCAGTAGTTGCGCCAGCAACTTGTTGCTTTCATTTGCTTTCTATGTGCGCGAACTTAGTGAAAGTGATACCCCACACACACACACCACACACACCGCACACTCCATACACACCGCACACTCCAGGCACATAAATAATACCACAAAGAAAGATATATCTGTGGCACGCCAAGGCGGCATTGACAAAACAACGGCAGCGATTTGTAGCAACAAGCAGACGTTGAGCTCCGTGGAATAATATTCGGATATTCGGTGTGTGTGCGGTGTGCGAGTGCGGATTAAAATCATCTAATAATCGTTATAAGCATAATAACCGTTATAATTTCCAGCTCGTTTCGGACATGGTCCGTTCGCCATTGTTGTTGTTGTAACAAATTACCCATCAACGCCTTGGCCAAACCAGAGTGTGTACTTGGAGTGTTATTTATATATTTATTATTATTTTTTTTTTTTTGGGGAAAAGTCTAGTTTGAAAATTAAAGAAATTTCTAAAGAATTGAATGAATGAAATAGGAAATTATTGAAAATTAGTAAAGGAGTCATTTCCGACCCAATAAATCATATATATTTTTGATCATCATCACCTGGCGAGTCAATCTAGCCATATTCGGAAGAAAAATATATTTTTTTTAATTTTTTCTTAATTTTATATCTTAAAAATCTTACAAATAGTCATAAAAACAAAGTCAAAAATCTTGATCTTTTTAAAAATGAAATTTAGAATGCAGATTTGTTAGCCTATTAAAAACTGGCATAAAAAAGTTTACCGAATTGAATTCGGCGCTTTTTTGGCTTAGTTATGATATTTTTAAAATTAAATTGCATACAAATTATGACATAAAAAATTAAATGAATGTTTTGTGTCTTTTTGAAGGGTTTTGCAATTTATTTAGTGAAGGAGTCATTTCCGACCCTATAATCCATATATATTCTTGATCAGCATCACCAGGCGAGTCGATCTAGCCATGTTCCGAAGAAAACCAAATTTTTAATTTTTTTTTTTAATTTCATGTCTTAAAAATGGTAAACAAAAGGTCAAAAATTTGAATTTCTGGAAATATTAAATTTAGTAAGCAGATGTGTTAGCCCATTAAAAATTAGCATAAAAAAGTTTACCGAATTGAATTCGGTGCTTTTTTGGCTTAGTTATGATATTTTTAAAATTAAAATTGTCTACAAATTAAGACATAAAAAATTAAATGAATGTTTTGTGTCTTTTTGAAGGGTTTTGCAATTTATTTAGTGAAGGAGTCATTTCCGACCCTATAGTCCATATATATTCTTGATCAGCATCACCAGGCGAGTCGATCTAGTCATGTTTCGAAGAAAACCAAATTTTTAATTTTTTTTTTTTTAATTTCATGTCTTAAAAATGTTTTAAAATGGTAAACAAAAGGTCAAAAATTTGAATCTCTGGAAATATTAAATTTAGTAAGCAGATGTGTTAGCCTATTAAAAATAAGCATAAAAAAGTTTACCGAATTGAATTCGGTGCTTTTTTGGCTTAGTTATGATATTTTTAAAATTAAAATTGTCTACAAATTAAGACTTACAAAAACATTACAATATTTTAGGTCTTTGTGAAGGGTTTTATAATATTTTTTTAGTGAAGGAGTCATTTCCGACCCCATAAATCATATATATTCTTGATCAGCATCAACAGCCGAATCGTTCTGGCCATGTCTGGAGAAAAAACATTTTTTTTTAGCCATTTTTCCAAAAAATTACATCGTTAAAATTCTCAAAAATTTACAAAAAAATTAAAATCTTTTAAATGTTATACGAAGTAAGCAGATTTATTAACCCTAAAAAACCAACACAAAACAGTTTTCCGAATTGAATTTAATAAATTTTTGGCTGAGTTACAGAAATTTTAAATTTGAATTTTTTTTCCAAAAATAATCAAAAAATCACACCACTTTTTCAAAAATAAATATAATTTTTAGAATTAAAACAATAACAATAATTTAAGCCATAAAATATACTAAAACTTGTCTAAATTTTGATGGAATTTCTTGAATTTTTGCATGGAAATTCAAGGAAAATCCCTATTTATATTATTATACAACTCAACTCTAGTGGCAGGTTGCATTTCCGCTTCAGCAGACGAGGCAGCAGCCTCTATTAAAGCGCAGCTGAATCTGCAAAGGCAACCTGCAACCTGCAATTCCCCCCGCCATTAGCGCTACGTAGAAAGTTGAACCCCACTTAGGCCCAGGCTTTAGCTTTAGCTTTAACTTTAGGTTTAACTTTAGCTCCATTTCCATCTCCATCCCCATTTCAATTTTTTATTTCCAACGCCAGCTGAAAGTCCCAGGCCCAACCTGCACATTAGCCCCGTCCTCGCCTCCGTGCAACATTCCATAACCAAAGTCAGCAATTTGCGTATGTCGGCTAATTTTATTTTAAATGCAAGTCCACACCTGGCGGGGATCGCGGAATGGGGTTGGGGTATCTGGACTGGGGTACGTGGTATCTGGACTGCCCTGAGGTGTGGTCTGGTGTCTGGTGAAGCTCTGGGCATTGTTTCAACAGTATTTAACATTTCTCTCTCCTTATGTTTACTTTTTTGGGGGCCTCATTTAGGGACGAGACTTTGGCAAGCTTGACCCCGCTAATTACGGAGGGATAAGGGTTTTTTTTTGCAGTTTGCATTGCAGTTCTGGGACGTCATGCGCTGATTGCCAAGCGCCTACGCTTCGGCGATCTGCCTGCCACCGATGTTGCCAATGTTACGAGAGCCTCTCTGTTTTTCTTTTTTGGGTGGAAAGTGCAAGTGCCAGGCCACAGCTTAGGCTAAGGTATTTCCCTCAAAGAAAATGTTACCTACTCTTCTTTTTCGATGGTAAATAATTTCTATAGGCCAAGCAAGAGCCGTTTTGAGCCGGTCTTGTCAAAAACGGTGTAAACCGTTAGGCCATCATAATGATGAAGATAATGATGATGATGATGATGATGATGATCGGGTCTGGAGAGCCGCTGATTGGTTTTTGGATTTACATAAATTGGCGCTGGACTTGTTCTCCCGCCGAAGTCGGAGTCGTCGCTGCTGCTTCTCTTGACCCAGTTAGCAGCGTTTTCTGTATATATTTTCTCGTCGTCGTCTTTTTTTTTTTTGTCGATTTGGTTTTTGGCTTGGCTTGCAGGCCAAATTAGTAGAACCTCGTTAAAACTGCACACAGACACACACATTCGGTGCGGAGAACATTGAAAATATTTCGCAAGTGAGTCGCTTTTGCGCAATGTTTGTTGCTATTGTTGTTAGCGGATGCGCCTGGCCAGACCAAGACCAAGACTTGTGCAAATCAACTGCAAGTTCGTTGCCCAAGTCTTTTGATTTGAACTTCCGCTAAATGCTCTGCGCCAGCGCCAGAGGATCTCTCCGAAACCAACACTGAGGGCACTGAGTTGCACAGAGCGAAAATAGGGGGGTAATATATATATATTTACTAGTGTAATTCCCTAACTTCTGCTCTGCTCTGCTCCTCCCTAACCATTAGCTGGTTCCTCCTGCCTTTCAGAATTAATTGCGCATAAAAATTGCCCATTATGGGCATTAAATGAGACATCAAAGACCGTCTGCCAGGCACACATGCACACACACACTCCCCCTGGGGTATGTGTATGTGCCAGCTAGTTGGCTAAAAGGTAAAAGCCAAGAACTGCTAAGCGTATTAAATAAACATGCGCTGTGCCCGCTCCGCTCTGGTCTTTTATGTAACGGTAACGACACGACGGCCAGCAACAATAAATTTCAGGCGTAAACAGTTACGTAAAAGAACAAAAAAACACAATACAAATACAAACATAGAACCCGGTGGAGTCACCACCACATCTCTACATCTCTCTGACAGCATCGACAGCACTTCCAGCAGCAGATCTTGGCAGCATCTTTCACCTGACTATGGTAGATGGGATATGGCATGGGCCCCTCCCACTCCGCTCGGCTCTCTGTAACAGGTTCGATATGATTTTGCGGCACTTTTGCCGCAAAGGAAACGCTTGATTGCCGCTTCTAAAGCAAGGCCAAGCAACGGCAATCGAACGGACAGGGAGACTGGCAGACCTGGCAGACAGACAGACCTGGCAGACCTGGCAAGCGGCGCAAGCCATCGACGACATTGACCGACGACGACGACAACGACGATGCTGAATGCTGGATGCTGGCAGATCTGCTTGGGAGCCACGATATGGAAGAGTGGGAAAGCGGAAAGCCGTCGTCGTTGCCGTTTGCCAGTTGACCGCATTCCAAGCTCTGGCCAGCAAATCAATGTGCAAGCGTAGAAGCCACATCTCACCAGCAACAACAACGAGCAGAGACAGCAAAAAAAAAATATATATATATAAAAAGAATAAAAAAACACAAAAAACAGCAATAGACAGGCAGCATCTAGAGACGCGTCCTTCTCTTTCCTGCACTGCCAAGAAAAATTCAGTGAAAAGGTTTGGGATTTTGTATATATATTTTAAATAAAAGAAATTTAAAAAATATCAATCTGGGTCTAGGTTCAGTCAAAAGAGTCTAGGAATTTTTATAAATATAATTTTAAAAAATAAAAAATACACCCAAACTTTAAGAATAAAACGTTTGTTATTGGAACTTCAAATACCTATTTAAGATGTGTCCATAAAATATAATAAAAAATACAAAATAAATACAAAATAGTTCACATTTTAAAGAAAACAACTTAAAAAAAAAACCCAGGCTTCAAACTTAAACTATAATCAACGGAAAAAATATTTAAAAATATAAAAATAATGAAAATATCTTTCAAATATATTTTCCTTGAATATTTACCCCTCAAAAGCACAACCAATTGCTCTCAGTGTTCGTGTAGACTGGCAAAACTGGGTCACTTCGGCCCAAATGCAGTTTAAGATAGAATGCGATCTTGGGCGAGTGTGTGTGTGTGTGTTGGCAGCTGCGAAACACCTGCAGCAGCAGCAGCAACAGCAGCAGCAGCAGCAGCAGCAGCAACTCGTGCCACAGTCAAGACTTCACAGTGAGTGATCGCTGTGGCAAGGAATGGCTGGGGCGGCGCATTTGGCCGGCGCCCACTGTACACAGTGCTTGCTTTTCAGATTTTCAGATTTTCAGATGCGTTCTCGTTGCAGTTTGCTAATTTCCGCCAGCTTCTGCGGCTTTTTGGTTTTTGGTTTTCCTTTTCTGCTTATTTTTTTGTGCCTAATTTGCTTTGGCTTGCTGCTGTGAACATTTTCAATGCTATCCGAAGATTGTAGCCACTTTGTGTGTTGCTTTATGGCTTTTTCTGGGGGAAAAGGTGGACAAATACTAAGGCTAATCTCTGGGCAGAGGCCATAAAAAACAGAAATGGAAAATAGAATAATAGGAAAATAGGAAAATGTAAGAGAATAGAATAGAGAGGGAAACACAACAGTTTAGGGGGACAATTTGCATAAGAAAGGAGAACACGAAAAAAAGAATAAAAAACATTAAAATAAAGCCGGCGATCGTTGGCCGTTCTTCTTCGTTTTTAATTTCGGTTTTTCGGCCTTTCTCTGGGCAACTCTTTTTGGGTCTTTTTCGGTCTTCTTGGGTTTCTTAAACTTTTGTCAACTCTTCTATGCAAATGACCAGGCCACAAATCAAAGCTTGGCCCCAATAGCAGCAGACCGACCGGCTTTGTTATGAATATTTTCACCCAAGAAATGCCGCTGTATTATAAAATCGATATATGTATGTTTTCCTTGGGCATTTGGAGTTCCACCTTTGGAATGGCTAGATTTACCGCTAGCCAGGCCGGGGCATTACGACATCAAAGAAGAAGATGAAGATGGCTATGCGATTGAGATTGGATCGAGAGCAGGTGGATCAAGAGCTGCTGCAGATGCTCTCCTATTGATTGGCCTGCAGCTGCACAACTGCCAACTCATCTCGCGGCAGAGAGGAGCACTTCCGATTGGAGAAGGAGTCGGAGGAGAGGCATTAGCCGGAGCAGTCATTGAACCTGCCTGCCTGCCTGCCTGCCGTCGCCTTCATCATGATGAAGATGGCGCCATCGCCCCTCCATTTAGCGAGCAAGCGGAACAAAAGCAACATCATCATCATCGTCATCATCGGCAGCAGCCACCAGAGCCAGCAGAGCCACATGAGCAACATCTGCAACATTGGCTACCTGGCGAGCTAAGCAAATTGCAATTTCCATGCGTTGCCTGCCACAGCCACATCCACATCCATGCCCATGTCCATGTCCACGTCCCATGTCCGCAATTAGGTAGCCGGCCCCATCATAATCTATGGTTATTGTTACGGCTATTGTTAGTATAAGTGTTATCGCTATCGTTATGGCGAAAATATATTGAAAAGACTGAGGCGGAAAACACTGAATAAAACTTTAAAATGGTGCCTGGCAGTGCCGCATGATTCATGGAGAGATTGAAGTCCAGGTTCCTACAGAGCTTTATATTATTTTGAGAATATTTTAGGAATATTTTCAGATTATTTTAAGAATATTTTGGGAGTATTTTAGGAATATTTTAGGAATATTTTCAGAATATTATGAGAATATTTTAGAATATTTTGAGAATATTTTGGATTATTTTGAGAATATTTAGAATATTATATAGCCACAGTCCCTTACAAGAATTCAAGATTATTTTATTCTTATTCTCCTCTCAATTTAATCTTCTATACACAAAACAAATCTCTCCTTCTAATAAATAATTATCCTTTAAGGAATGTACTTTCATTTAATCCAAAATATTTGTTTTTCTGGGTTTACCAACCAAAAATCCCTCAAAATCCCCCACAGATCTCTACAATAACCTGTAGTAATCAGCCATAAAATCGTTTACCCACACACTGTGGCTTACTTTTCACACTCAATCTGGGATCAATGCAATCGGTTTGATAATTAACGACAGCTGTGGCAAATTATCTATCGATCACTCTCCCATCGAGTCAGTGGAGTTTCACGAGCAGTTTTTCATATACATTTTATTTTTTCTTTGATGGCAATTTGCAATCGGTTTTTGGGGCCAGTGACGAAACGACAGCCGACACCAACACACAATGGCGTTTAAAGTTATTAACGAAGCAATTATTAATAACAATTTCAATTGTTTGCCTTAGCGATGGCATTGAAAGAAAAAAAAAAAAACATAAAAACGAGTCGTGAATCACAGCCGCAACAATTGCTGACTTGTACATATATTACAATTAATTAAATTACAGAAAAAAACGTATGTATGTATGTATATGGGAGAAGAAAGGAAAAAGCGCATAAATTCTGTTCAAACAGCAGCTCTTTCCATGTTTCTCTTGGCATTTAAATGCGTTGCTAATAGCAAACAATTTCATTTATTTATTAGACGTTAGTTTCACTTTTCGAGCATTTCACTATTTCACTGGCGACATTAAAATTTCACACACGACGCCGGCCGTCGCCTGGACAAAACGCGAAAGTTGTCCCAGGGTGTTGTCAAGGCATTTGTGTGTAAAATGTATTTAACTGCAGCCCCGCCATTTATGTTTATGGCAATTAAAAAAAATATATATATGTGTATTTACAGATGCAGAGATACTACGCCGCCTGAGAATCATCGCGGCGGCTTAATCAGGCAAAAAGCTGAATGGATTTGATTGAAATTTATGCCAAAGCCGCGACACAGTGACAACTGCGGAGATCTATGGCCCCGGGGATGAGTTGCCGGGCTGCCATGCTGCCAGATGAGATGAGATCAGTTCACCGAAGACACTCCCTCGCCTCATCAATTCCTAGCCAGCTTTCGGCATGAAATCATTGTGGGTAAGCGAGCAAAGTGGGCGCAGGGTTATACATATATCTCACAGATTTCTTATTTATTTAGAGCTTCTTTGGGTACATAGGGAATTTGAAGAATAATATATTGTTTGATACTTTTCTCAACTTGTTTAAATATTTTTGAGATTCAGAGTTAAGCCACATATATTTCATGGACTTATCTATTGAAGAAGTATTCATTTTAAGCAGCAATTTCGCTATCTAAGTGTATAGATTTTCTTTTTAAAATATTTTTTTATATATCAAAATAAGATATTTAGTTTTTTTGAAGCCTTTTATTTTTAATCAAATTTAAAATCGTTTATTTTGATTTATTTTTTTAGAATAAAATATTTTTAAATATTTTATATATTCATCAAAATTATACATATATATTTTTGGGCTTTATTTAATATTTATTTAGATTTTAAATATTTAAAAACATTTATTTTGATTTATTTTTTCAGCAACATTGTTGCTCAAGTCTTTTTTTTTTTTTTTTTTTAATACCAACATAATTGTTGTTGCAGTTGTTCGTTTTTGTTTGAGTTTCTGGATTTCTTCTTCAGTTTTTGGGCTTTGACTCGTCACTCTCGACAATGATTTACATATATCGAGTGCATGAGTACCTGGCAAGGCCATTGACAGCTTTGCGCAATCGGCACTCGGGCAGGCACTTCACCCCCCACACGCTGAGACCTCCTACGTGCCAAGGCGGCAATTGCAGTTTGGGAGGAAACGTAAAAATACAAAATAAAAATGAAAATAAAACCCAAAAACCGACAGAAAAACCAAAGAAAATAAAACGCAAAAGTTGCGCAAAATTGTCAAGTCAAACATGCTCAAGTTGAGTTGTATTTGTGTCGAAATATTTTCAAGAGAGTGTCACCCGCATATATATTGAGCCTAATGAGCTGTACAGTAGGAATATATAGATATATATTTAGGGGGAAAATATAAACAAAATATATAAAAAATATTAAACAAAATATATATAAGCCTGAACCTTTTCTTCTTTAGTTTCTGCAGATTTTTATAATTATTTTATAAATTTATAAATATTTTTTGCTAGCTTTTGCAACTTTAAAGCCCAAGTTTAAAGGTCTGTCTGCCAGCTGGCAACTACATAATTTTGTTTATTGTTTTTACTATTTTTTTTTCCTGATGATGGCTTCCTACTTCCTTGTGGCAAAGCCAGGGTCTTATGTAAAAACCCGCGACCGCAATTGAAGTTGCAGTTGCAGTGGCAAGGAGAGGCTGCTGCTGATGTTGCTGCCAATGCCGCATGCATGCGTGCACCGAGCCACGCCCCCGTCGCCCTAGCAACAAATTGCTGCGGTTCATTGTGCAGACTGAGTGGCAGACTCAGAGGTATCGGCATCGGTATCAAATTGCCAAAGGTACTCGCACTCGGGTACTGGCATCTCCTCTTTCCCTCAGAGTTTCCAGAGTTTCGCATTGCAATTAGGCGAACACGATGCTTCCGCATCTCTTGATGATGATTATGATTATGATGAGCTGCTGGTCATGCATGGCTCTGGCGAGGCACAGATAGGCTGTGCGCAGACATTACGTTTTGGCCATTAGATGTTGGGCATATGCTCGATCATCCCATACCAGCCCCAGCTCGAGCTCGCCACTTTTACTTTTCTTATTGTCAACAATTGTCTGAGGAGAGGAAAGCCGCAGAAAATAAAACTTTCCCAACATTACAGATTTGTCGCTGCTGCTGCTACTGCTGCTACTGCTGCTGTTTTTAACTCTTTCCCCAAACAAGCCGCAATTGTTGTCGCTCCCCCAGATCATAAATTTTCTTTTAATTTCAGTTTCTGTATGTTCTGCTGCCGCCGTGTGTCTGGTCTGTGATTAATTTCAGTTAATTTACAAGATTTTCCTTGGTAAAAGTCTGTCTGAGTAAAAGTCAGGCTTAAATTGTCTGCCTTTGACTTGTCCTGGCTTTGTTTAACGTGTCGTAAGTGTAAGAGAGTTTAACAGAAATAATTAATAATAAATAACTTAAGGGATTTAAGAAGGAAACTAAAGTTTCAAATACATTTGCCAATCGTAATTGTAAATTTAAAACTAAGAAAAGAGCTTTATATATTTTGGAATTTAATTTAATTTAATCATTATTATTTGATATATTTTTGCAGCTTAAAAACAATTTTAAATAATAAATAATTCCACACTTTAGGTATCTTTTATAAATAATGGATTTTAATAAGAAAATAATGTTTAAAAGTAAGAAAAGAGTTTTAAATAATTTACTATAAATTTACTAATGCTTTTATTAAATCCCCTATGTTTTTATTTATTTTTTGATATATTTTTTCAGTTCAAAAACAATACTAAATAATAAATAAATCCACACCTAATGGATTTTTGTTTCTGTTCAGCACCAAGTTTGTTGCCTAAGTCTTTTGTTTTTTATTTATTATTTAATTTTATTTTATTTATTAAAATTGCTAAAATTTTAAATTTAGCTTTAGCATTTTCTATTTATTATTTTATTTATTATTATAATACCTTTTCTAAGTTATTTCACTCTTTTTCCAATTCTGTTCTTGTCACCTCCAAGTTCGTTGCCTAAGTCTTTCGTTTTCTAGCTTTGCCTGTGGTGACAACCCACCTACCTCTCGCTTCTCCCTGTTCTGTTGCCACGTGCAACGGCCTGCGGGTTGCCCAAGTCCAAGTCTCCCCTCTCCTACTCCTTCTCTCCCTGTGCCATTTGTGCCACATTTCAACTTGCCCGATTGTTTGCTGACCCAAACAAACATCCGTTTCCTGGCGAATGCGCCCGCTGCCACTCCCTCTCTGGCTCTGGTCGACTTTTGTCGCATATCCCACGAAACAATTAAGCACTTGACGCAGAGCTTACAAAAATTATACAAATTATAAAAAAAAACAGAGACAAGAAGTGGAACTGGAACCCCAACTGGACTGGGGAGCTGGGAGCTGGGAGCAGGGCCAGTTTTGCTGACAGCTGACGCGGCCTGGACACTATTTTATTAACGTGGGAACAAAATGCAAAACGCAGCCAAAAACAAAAAGTTAAATACAAATTATAAAAGCGGCTTTTGTTTCGAAGCCAAAACCGGAAATAAAAAAAAGAAGCGGGCAGGCAACAATCAGCCGGAAAAAATGTATGCAAAAACAAAAAACTGAGTATCGCTTGCTCTTTTTTTTTTTTAGGTGTGCCCCACACACACACACACACATCTACACTTTGTATTAAAAATGGGTGATGAAAGCACAACAACAGCAACAACAACCAGAGAAAGATGGAGAAGAAGCCGAGGCAGAGCAACAAGTGGGATCCAAACGAGAACGAGAGAAAATTTGTTTGCTTTGGCAGCGGAGTGCCAGAGTGCCGTTGGTGCGGTTTTTATATATTTCAAATACCCTCAACAAAGTGGGGTAAGTACACTATAAATACCCATTGAAAGGGGGTTGCATTTATTAACAAATTAATTTGAGGCAAGCTTTAATGGCTGGCACCTTTGCTTAATTTTCCAAAATTATGCAAATACGTTTAAACAATTCCATCATTCAAAAACAGTTCCCACATGTCAAGGCAAAGCATTTAGGCATTTTATCGAGATAAGCGCCAAGACAAATGAATACTGGCCAGATGATATGTGGGATAATTATGACGGCTTTGAAATAAATATAAACAAAGAGTTTTGGGGGAACTTTTGGTAATGAAAGAATTTTTGGTAATATTTTCCAGGGGTTTTTTCCTATAATTTTCTCAGAGGTTTCTTCTTTTCAAACAAAGGTTAAGAAAGAGTTCTTTGACTTCAAGAGAAGAAAATAAAAAGAGACTAATACTTTTAAGATTTATTTTAAACTAAGACTTTTAAAGAGACAGTAAATATTTTCAAGGGGTTTTAAGATGTTTCTTTGTTCATTTTCTCATTTCCTTTAAGCCTTTCGGCAGGGTATCCTTTAGTCGTTCTCCCCCCCACATTTTCGCAGCATTTCTTTCTTGCTTTTCGTCTTTCGCTTGACACACTCACCTATATTCTGCGCCTGTGCCTGCGCCTTGGCCTGCGCCTGCGTCGTGGCCAGCGTCGACGCCAACGCCAGCGCCAAAGCCAGCGCCAGCAGCGAGCGCGGCGTGCGATGCATTGTGGCTCTGTCTCTCGCTCGCACCTGTTGTAACTTTAGTTTCTCTGATTTGTTTAATTTATTTTCAAATATTTTCAATTCGGTTTATCTTGCTTCAAACTTTATTCAGCTCTTGGCACACTTTGAACTTCACTGGGTACGAGTTTCGGGTGGATTCAACCACACAGAAAAAAAAAACAAAGTGCACTGCACACGGGAATTTGTTGCACGGCAAAAACTTGAAAAAAAAACAACTATTGTTTCTAAAAAATAATGATCGACGCGACGCGAGGCTTTTCCGCTGCACCGAACCGTTCGCTGGGAGTTCTGCAGGTCGACTGAAGCCACTGGCAGGCGGCGATCGCGCTCGAAGAGATCGCCTCGTGGGGCAAGCGTTTGGAGCTCGGCTTCTTTCACTTTTCGCCCGCTCTCTCTCTCGCATTCGCTCTCCACCTGTGTTCTCTCTCTCTTTCTTTTCTTTCACGGCAGAGCCGAACTTGAAGCCAAACCGTTGTCTTGTGCAGCTCGAAAGCAACTGAAAGTTAGCGGCGGCGCGTCGTGCGTCTTGTAAGCTTCACCTGCCTCAGCGCGGCCTCTGCCTCGGTCGACGCACTTGCTGCTGCTGCTGCTGTTGCGCTTTTGGCAAGTGCCAAGTGCGCCAAGTGCCCCCTCCTCCCAGCCACCCCCCTTTTATCTCTGCTCTCCCAGGGCGAGCTGATCAATGGCCACCAATCGCGGTTCTTGGGCCATCATCATCATCGCCATCGCCATCGCCAGAACGGTAATAACAACTAATACAGGTTATGCAACTGTAACGGAACACTCGGCGAAAAAGCGGCCAAGTTAGGGGAGATTTCTATCGGGAATTCGGGTATATCGGGTCAGCTGTGGAGGCTTCTGTGATGAATTGGTAAGCAGAAATAGCACTGACTTGACCAGGCTGACATTTCGAATCTTCTGGGTTTATCAAATAAATATATAATATTTAAATATTATATATTATATATTATATATATATATATATATATATATTATATTATATAAATATTTAAAATATATTTTGGAGTTAAATATATATATATAAATTGTTGTTTATTCAAAGTGCTCTCATTGTTCTATTGAAAATTGTGTAAGAATTAAAATTTTCCTGGTCCTATGGAGACTTTTCTAAGGAACTTAAACTTTACCACACTTTTGTTTTCTAGTGATTTTAATTTATAAAGAAAATGCTTAATTCAAATTGCGAGAACTCTATATTTAGCTATACTTTTGGCCGTAAGGTATTAATATTTAAAGGTATTAATACCTAAATATATAACTATTTTGGTTATTTTATGTTTAATCCCCGGCAGAGTTTTTTAATTTAAATCGAAGAAGGAGTCATTTCCGACCCTATAATCCATATATATTCTTGATCAGCATCACCAGGCGAGTCGATCTAGCCATGTTCCGAAGAAAACCAAATTTTTAATTTTTATTTTTAAATTCATGTCTTAAAAATGTTTTAAAATGGTAAACAAAAGGTCAAAAATTTGAATCTCTGGAAATATTAAATTTAGTAAGCAGATTTGTTAGCCTATGAAAAACTGGCATAAAAAAGTTTACCGAATTGAATTTGGTTCTTTTTTGGCTTAGTTATGATATTTTTAAAATTAAAATTGCATACAAATTATGACATAAAAAATTAAATGAATGTTTTGTGTCTTTTTGAAGGGTTTTGCAATTTATTTAGTGAAGGAGTCATTTCCGACCCTATAATCCATATATATTCTTGATCAGCATCACCAGGCGAGTCGATCTAGTCATGTTTCGAAGAAAACCAAATTTTTAATTTTTTTTTTAATTTCATGTCTTAAAAATGTTTTAAAATGGTAAACAAAAGGTCAAAAATTTGAATCTCTGGAAATATTAAATTTAGTAAGCAGCTGTGTTAGCCTATTAAAAATAAGCATAAAAAAGTTTACCGAATTGAATTCGGTGCTTTTTTGGCTTAGTTATGATATTTTTAAAATTAAAATTGTCTACAAATTAAGACATACAAAAACATTACAATATTTAAGGTCTTTGTGAAGGGTTTTATAATTTTTTTTAGTGAAGGAGTCATTTCCGACCCCATAAATCATATATATTCTTGATCAGCATCAACAGCCGAATCGTTCTGGCCATGTCTGGAGAAAAAACATTTTTTAGCCCTTTTTCCAAAAAATGATAAGGGGTTACATCGTTGAAATTCTCAAAAATGTACAAAAAAATTAAAATCTTTAAAATGTTATACGAAGTAAGCAGATTTGTTAACCCCAAAAAAACCAACACAAAACAGTTTTCCGAATTGAATTTAATGAATTTTTGGAGGAGTTGCAGATTTTTTAAGTTTGGATTTTAGTCAAAAAAATTGCTCAATTTTTTGTTTAATTTTATAAGAGGTACAAAAAATTCCCTTACCAGTTTCCTTTCCTCTTCCATAAATATAAATAATAATTCGCAGTGTCTTGCTGTCCATCTCTGAGCTGGTAAGTGGACCAATTTGGAGAAGAATTCCTCTATTGGTACCTGGTCTTACCTGGTCTTACCTGCTGCGGCTGCTGCTGCTGGCGAGATGTGGACCTGGAACTGGACGCAGTGGTGGATGTGAACGTTGCACAATGCCTTGGCGGCGGAGGCGCATTTGCATGCCACACGAACGGGGCGGAAAGTAAGCCAAATGGTCAGGAAACTGGCACAAAATCCAGATTCATGGATGCACTGCAGCATCTTTTAGCTGCTATTTTTTGTGCTCTCTCTCTCTCTGTGTCTCTATTTCTTCCAACGCACATGTGACACATGTGGGCCAAATGCAAAATGCAAAATGGTCCAGCTATATGCTAATGATCATCGTGAGCTGCCCAAGAGCTGCCAAGAGGCTGCAGGCCAGAAACCCGATCGAACCAGGTGACATCGAATTGGGTTGCGAGCAAAGTGCAGTCGGGCATTCCACACGATCTGGAAAAGAAGTGGTGAGATGATGGACCGGTATGGACAGACCTGACAGCATGGCCACTGGCAGGCAGCTTTGGGCGATGGAAGCAGGTACGGATTGATGGAAACGTGTACGGAGGTTCAGTGACAGAAAGATATATAGATAGAAAGATGGATAGATAGGTAGACAGATATACTGCATATAGAAAGATAGATAGTTAGATAGTTAGATAGAAAGAAAGATAGAAAAAAAGATAGATAGATACACAAAAAGATAGATGGAAAGATAGATAAATCTACATACATAGAAGGTGAGAAAATAATTAAACAGAAAGGTTTTTCTTTGCAATTTCCGTGCTTAAATTAAAATTTAAAAATTATTTTGTGAGAAATTTCTATATATTTCGTTTGTTTTTTATACCCTTTCCCAAATTCAACATAAAAATTCGCTTAAATTTCGGGCCTCAGAAGCCGCCAGCTGTTGCTATTTGTGTCACCTTGATCGCCACCTTGGGGACCTCGCAAGCGAGAAACCTGCAATTTTTTCGGTCATGTCAAAGCGTCGGGTTCACGGATTGATCCATGTTCGATCTTGCCAAACAACGAACACGGCTAACAGCCCTCGCCCTCCTCTTCTCCCGCGATTGTTGTTAGCCAACAGCGAAAACAGGCAGTTGGCAGTTGGCTTGTGGCAACATTTAATTAGAAAATCGCTGGTGCAAGTGGCTGGGAACGGGATCGGGAATGGAAATGGGAACGGGAATGGGGATGTGAATGTGAATGTGGTTGTGGATGTGGATGTGGATGCTCGATGGGCTTGGCCATGAAGCTTCTTCGGCCACGTCTTGAGCTTCAGCTCCTCGGCTGCCCATTGTTACGCTTGCTTGACTAGGCAGTGGGCTAGTATAACTAGTAAAGACACCGAGAGAAATCTAGGTGAGTTGTTAATTATTTTAGTTTACTAAAAAAACAAAAATAAAGCAACTAAACGATAATTTTAATATTTTGTAAACCAGTTAAAGCTGGAACTTAATAAATAAATTAATATATTTTATATATTATAAATATAATAAATAAAATAAAAAATATAATTAATATTTAAAATAATCTAATTATATTTTGTACTTGTAAAATATATAGAAAGTACTCTTTAAGCAAAGATTTGATCAATTTTCTTGAAAGAAAGTCTTCAAACCTTTTTTTTTACTGTGCATCTCAAATGGCCACGTGCTGGTGGCTCCGTCCGTCTCCTCCTCCAAAGCGACGCCCACCAGGTAACTAGTGGCCAGTGTGGAGTGACCACAACAAGGAAATCAACTCGGCCAGGCGGGCAGGCAGGCAGGCACACGCAACAAGTTCGGCGGAAAAGCTGGGAAAAGCAGGGAAAAGCTGGGCCCACTGCTGGGAGAATTTAGGACGCAGCCAAGCAGAGCAAATTGCTGCATTTGATGCTGCTGTACGATCCCGGGAAAGCAGCCAATTCCATCCCAGTCCACACACCAAGCCACAGCTCGCTTCATTTTCCATTTAGTGCTTTATTATTTTTAATTTCCAGCCCAGGTCCCGAGATTAATGTTCTGAGTCGCTGCTGCCTCTGGGGAGATTTACTTACCTTCCGGATTTCTGTTTTCCTTCTCCCTTCATGCCAGAGGCTTTTCCCCCCTCCGGGAAAATCTTGGGGCCCTCGTGCTCCAGTTTGAGAATTGCTTTCCCGAAAATCAATGGGAAACCCGTCCGTCTCGATGATGAGGTTTTGATTATGACAAAATGAAGATTAATTCAAAGTGATTTCCGATATTAATGAACTGCTGACCCAGTAAATCGTTGGCTTCGATGTGATATAATGAAAAATGAACCGAGATAAGCGATATTTAAGCGAGTAGTTGGGAAGGGGATGCCAAGGGAATAGGATAATTGATTGCGAGTAGAATCGGTAGATTAAACCAAAGAAATTTAATAGTAAAAATATTTTAAATTCAATTTTATTGATTGAAAACTCTCAAAAATTACTTGGGGCAAACCACAAATTGTAGGGAAACTCCGTCAAGTGTTTTCGTTTTCGTAATCTTTTTTTTGCAACAATTACGCATTGGATAACATCCGACTTGCCTCCTCCTCCGCCTCCTTTGGCGGTTGCACATGCTTATGATTGCGCAATCAGGAGGCGCACACAGAAAGTGATTGCAGCGTGCTACTGGAGAGGGGGCGTGGCAGGTTGCGCTGGCCAACGCAAGGGTTAGGTTCTCCACCCTCCTGGGGGAGCTAGGTAACAGTAAGAGAAATAAACAAAAAGCGTAGACAAAAGCCCAGTGAAATGTGTGGCATGAAACGAAAGTAAAACTCTTGTCTTTCGTGGGGAGGTCTGTCTGGGAGGGAATGAGGTAGGAGGTAGGAGGATAGGAGCAGAGCGGAGCGGAGCCAACCACCCACCAGATCCTACAGTGGGCACTTGTGCCCCACTGACAAGTGGAGTGCTCTTTTGTTGCGCTTTTGATATTTGCAATCATTTCATTTTTGGACACTAATGACGGTGATGAATGCAACCGCCGCCGCCGTCGGATGA